TGAGTGTTTGTTTTGATTGGCTGTTTAATCAGGGAGATGTCAGTTAAATAACTGACATCTCCCTGGTTTAATGTTGCCATGATGATGGTAGTTATTCTTGATGGCAAAATTACCAACAGTGGTAATGTTTGTGCAATGGGGTCCAGATCTGGATTACTTCTGAAGTTGAACTCGTAAAAGGATGGCGATGAGCCGATGATGCATACTGTTTAACTCTTAACTAAGCTAAATATTGTTAACGATTTCCGTCCTGCCAATGGAATGTAGAGTCACCCAACTTGTCCATTCCCTGCATTCCTTCCGGCCATCTAGACATGTTGATTTCATTGTCAGTTACTGTCCAAGATTAGAAGATGACATCATGATGTCTTGGGGCTATATGAAAATAGCATCTTTTCTTCCTACATTGGCCCACAGTGTACAGTCGACCCTTTCACACATGCCTCTAATGTTTTTTCTTGAAATAGTAGATTACAGAAACTTGCTCTTAGAGAAATTAATGACAGATATGAAGACTGCCATCTTTTGGCAACATTGACTTCATAAAAGGAAGGACATTATATTTAAAGAGATCAGTACATGACTACATGTGATCTATCGATATTTACTTTTAGAAACATACTGAAAGTTTTATTTTTCTTAGTATTAAAGATTTTCAGGCTCAAACAAATTACTTTAATTGTCTGCTTTACATGTACTGGATATACAATAAGATTATTCTTCTAAAGAGAGAAGCACAATCTTAGAAATGAGGTTCAAGGAATCTATTAAGGTTTGTCCCTACTTTGGTTTGTTCTATGTATCTCAATCGAATTTGTCATGCTCTCTGTTGTACATATGTTGTAGTAGTAGTGTAGTAGTGTCCAACCCTGCAGATATAATAGGCTAAATTCAAGTCAGGAGAAATCAATTGGGTTATTTTAGTTGAAACAGTTTTTCCTCCTTCCTTGCCATTTGAGCAACCAAGCAAGAAAAGATCAGGGAGATGCTATTGTTCTTCTATGTACCAATCTTATTGAAAAGTATGTTGACCTTTGCGAAATGACAAAGGATGCTTGTTAAAACAGACTTGTGTTGAACACAACAATAGTTCTCATTACCAGAGTCAAAGCTGTCAGCATCAATAAGGTGCTCTTTCTCTTCCCCCACATTTCTCTCTCTCTCTCTCTCTCTCTCTCTTTCTCTCTCTATTTCTCCCTCTCTCTGTCTTTCCGTCTCTCTACGTATGTCTGGCTGTCTTTCTCTCTCCTTCCCTCTCCTTGCAGTCTCTCTCCCCCTCTCTCTCCCTCTATCACTCTCTTTTCCATTCTATGTTTGTCTCTAGCTCTCTGCTACATGTATGTACATGAACTTCCTCCCTTTCTCTGGTATGTTTAGCTCCACATCCTCTTTCCCTTTCACCTTCTACCCCATTCCCCATTCTCCTCTCCTCCTCTCCTCCTCTCCCTTTGTAAATAAACATTGCATTTACGTACTTTTCCATTTCCCTCTACCAGTAAGTATGTCCCTCTCCTACCTCTCTCTCTCCCCCCTCTCTCCCCCCTCTCTCCCCCCCCCCTCCCCTTTCTCCCCCCCCCCTCCCCTTTCCCCCTTTCCCCCTTTCCCCCTTTCCCCCTTTCCCCCTCTCCCCCTTTCCCACTTTCCCCCTCCCCCTTTTCCCCTTTTCCCCTCTCCCCCTTTCCCCTCTCCCTCTTTCCCCTTTCCCCCTTTCCCCTCTCCCCCTCTCCATCTCTTTCTCTCTATCTTCCAACCATTTAAACCTCATTTAGAGGTAAACCATGACATTTTGAAAAATAAGGTGTTAATGAATGGCAACAAAGGTCCTACATGTATTCACTGAGCTCTGTACAGAATTGTGAAGCGTACCATTACACTTTAATTTTACATGTTTGTCATTATAAACAAAAAAGTGGTTTAGCCGGGTTAGGGGAATGCTTCTGTCTGCACAAGATATTTTGAAAAATGGCAAGAAAAATGATCTACCTATCATTTGATACTTCATTGCTTAGCAACACTTTTTGATCTGTAATGCATTCTAATTACCAAGGTTTAATGATTAAAAAAATATAGCAGCTTCTTGGAGTTATGGGGTTACTAGTACATTTCAAGTGTCCCTACCTCCAGAAGTTGAATTGCACGAACCCCAGTCTATTTCAATTTTCAATGCTACAATGAAGTACTGACAAACTATGCAGAAATGAGATTGTTTTTGAAAAAACTCTCTGAAGGATAATTTACAAAAGTAAGAATTTTGATGAACCGGATACACCACCGCTTTGATGGTTAAATCTGACCGGACCGATATAGAGCTTTAGGATTGCTTGCATTCCTTTCTCATGATATCTTCACAGTTCATAGATGATAGATGGATCGGGAACAGGTCTTTAGTTTCATGACGGCAGAAGCATTCCATGGCAGGGCTGCGATGAGATGTAGGCACATGGCAGCTTACACGATAATGCATTTGTGGGGATGAGAGAACGGTGTTTTTACAGATAAGAGGAATTTAGTGGGGCCTTGTGATGGCAAATTATTGTATTATTTGGGATCTTGTTGCCTCTGTGCTGAGAATTTAGTGGGAACAGATAGAGGATTTAACAGAATAGAGGTAGAGATGAAGTGGAGGAAGAAGAGAAACTGCCAACCATACATGTATATGTACTTATTTTAGGAGGAATGATTCTTGGGGGGGGGGGCCTTTAAGTTGTTGTTTAGAACCCTAGATTCCTCTCTCTTCCTTTTTTTTTACAAAGTAGATTGTATTCCAGGCCTTAAATTTCGTCATTTTTAGGGCAAGGCCAGTTTGGCCTTGAGTACCTCATATTTTTAAGGGCACCAAGGCCAAAATATTTTTACAAAAAGGGCATCGAGGCCAAAATATTTTACAAAAAGGGCATCGAGTATGAGGCCAAAAAAATTGATTCTATTTTTGTTAATGTCATGTGTATTTTATGAAACTGATCAATTTCCCATGACTTTTAGCACCAGCTTCTTCACAGAATGTATAGAGGTCTGCGGTACATACAAACAAGGCGGCGGCCCGCAAGCCTTAGATTTAGCAGCCAGGAGCAAGGGGCCATTTTTTTTTTAAGTTGCCCTTTGCCACGGGAATTTACCAGAGCAAGGGGCAATTTTCAAAAAACAGATATGCCCCTTATCTAATCATAAGTTCAAAGAGAGTCTAACATTACAAATGTTAATTTCATAATGTGAATAGATCGAACGATCAATTTAATAACTTTTTAATCTTAACAATATGAACAGGAAAGATTGATTAAGAACATCAAACTTGCGCATTAAACAGTATTTTAAAGTAACTGAAAATATTGATGAGCAATGAATAAATAAATTGTCAATTTCACAAACATCGAAAGTCAGGACTTGGTCTTGGCAAGTTTACCGGGCCGGGTATCCCAAATCAAAATCGCACCTCACACACAAACCTTCCGCCACTCTCTCGGTAGAACTAGAAGGAGCAAATTTGAAGAAATTATCTTTTTAACTGTTGTAGTTCTATAGAAAGGTCTAGATAGGCGTAACTAATGAAATAAGATGTACAAATATCCTTATAGACATTCGACAGCTGAAAGTGACACGCTCAGCTCAGTTGCGTAACGTGCATTCACGAAACCAAAATCGTTCCTTGCACACACACTCTCGCCACTTTTGGTGGGAAGCTGTCGGGCTGGAAGTTTGCCAGCGAAACCGATGCACCCTCGGAGATTCGCAGCGCGTAATTTTACCGGGACTCGAAACGTTCGTCTTGGGAAGCTGGCGGGGTAGCTTTTTGAAGCGAGGTCGGCTGGTGGCAAAATGAGAGTAACTACGATCGAGAACATCGTAGGTGTTCTTAACTTATTAATAAGATAATTCTAAATTCTATTTCAGATAAAATAATAAACTAGACCTACAAACAAACCTCGACAGATCTCTAATGACTATTTGAATGCTTGTTTATTTCTCCATTTGACGATTTGTTTTCTTGATCCTGGCCTTCGATTTGTACGTACGTACGTGCGTGCGTCAGCATGCACCATATGCATATCATGCGATCGCATGAACGTACGTACGTACGTGCGCTAGCGCATTGCCTATAAGCTATATAATAACAAAGGGCGCATTTTCACGGCACTTGCGCCTTATTAAAGCACTAAATACGAAGCTAGAAGAGAGCTCGTGGGCGGCAAACTGTTCGTGATTCGTGTATTTTTACTGTTCTAATAATTTATGGGCGCATTTTCACGGAAAACACTTGCGCCTTGCCGTCTAGTTTTAGATGATTATGGGCGCAATTGGTGGTTTTATGTGCGCAAATTTAAAAAAAAAGGGCACGTCCAGTTGGAAAAAAAGGCACGTCGGCCAGTTTGAAAAAAAGGGCACGGCCTTTTTGGCCGTGAATTTATCTTTTTTTGGGAGGGCACCGCGGCCAGTCATAGGGGCATCGACGGCCTGGCCGTCGATGGCCGTCGATTAATTTAAGGCCTGGTATTCCTAATTTTTCCTTGAGAGATTCCTATTTTTTGCTGTGAAAGGTTGGCAGGTTTGTTTACATAATGGGAAAAAGCGGGCTAATTTGCGCTAGTTTGTGATGAGCATTCGGTCTGGTAAAGACGCAATTTCGAGCTTTTGGGAAAATATCCCGAGTCTGAAAATTGCATGTTTTTTTTCAACTTCGGTCTGATGAAGACAGGCCTACCGGTATTCAAAAGTTACTAAATAACCAAACCACAAAATGTAGAATGCCCCCAGAAAAAAAATTAATGCAAGTATGCAGCACTTTCAGTAATGAATTTGATGGGTTCTGTTACTGTGTTTTTTGACATATACATGATTGTATAATTTTCAATGTTTGTTCATGTAATCATGTAAAGTATGTGACTGCTTTGTTTGTTTGTTTGCCAACAGAAAATTGATTTTGTTAAAAATAATTCACCTTTTTTCTTACTGTTCAAGCCATTCATGTTGCTCTGTGTTGCTTTTACATGTAAATTATGATATAGCTGGTGGTGTCCATGCAAGCCGAATCAGAGGTATGGTAAATGACCAATGTTGTGCAGTGATGATATATCGTCTTAGTTCAGCTAAATTACTAACGTTATTCAACTATACTAATTCTATTATATCATGTTTGCAGTTTTAGACTAACAAATGTTTTCTTTTTCTTCAGAATATGTAATCATATTTAAATCAAGAGCTAATATTAAATATGCAAATGTATTTAACATGATGCGTGATTTCATGTACAGTAGCTGTTCATTCTCTTAGAATAACCAAGCTTTCATAGATATTTTGTTAAACCATGCTTTGACATTTATGTGAAATATACAGTGCTTATTTTCAGTACTAAATGACTGATGAGTGATATGTAAAAACTTAATATGTGCTAACATCTTTGGCATACATGTATATTTATATCTGATGCATTTTATTAACTTTTATATATCTAGTCTCAATTTTCTTTTTTTCCCCAAAGAAAAGGCTTACACCTGTACTTCGTTCCATCAGATCTTTGCATTATCGCCTTACATAAACTTTTGTGAAAACGTACCCTCTTATCATGAAAGGTCAGGTGTTACGCTTGTGAAATACACCCCTCATATTTCAGAAATTCCAAAGTGTTGGGTCCAGTTTACCCAACTCTTTCTGAGAAATCTATGAAATCTGCATACTCGACCTGACATATTTTAAACAAGATAAATAATACTAAGAGTTTTTAAAAATGCTAGTGATTGACACTTTGTCATTGTCTGATTTTATGGGCACGTTTTCAGAAATTAGCCTCCTCTCAAAGACCATCTTTGAAAAAACATTGTCATTATTTTCATTCAATTTTCCTGACCTTTCGTGAATACGGGGGGATATTTTCACAGAAGTTCATGTAGCCCCAAACCCTTCCCGATAGAACGAATTAAAGCAATGAAAATACTTTAATCAGCTTTTCTTTTTTCTTTGATATCCTAATGTTTAACAGTTTAGGAGGACTTTTAATCAAAGCCTTAAAGGGATACGGTATTTTTGTCTCTGTTTCTGAAACAAAATCCTGGATTTAGCTCATGCTGCAATGATAATTATAAACCTTAAGGTCAGTTAGGAACCCCATGACTTTTACGTACAAGCCGATCGCCTGTCTGATTATCACGATATTTATGATTGGAATTACAAATTTTAAAAACCGTTTGCCAAACGGTTTTCATAACACTACAGTCTATCGGGGAAAACAAGTATGGTAAAACTGGTCATTCAAAGATTTAAAAACTTTTTGAGGCACTTTTTGAGCATTTTGAAGCGCATTAGGGCTTCAATATTACACCATATCACAGACACTGATAACATGTAGGGCCGTGCATCTCAGAATTAACATTGTTAAACGATGCCTTTAATGTTGAGACTTGAGAGGCATGTTTCTAATATACTGCATGCATCAATGATTCTGGGAAATCTATTTCTTTTAAACCTTCCATGAAATGTGAAGGTTTGTTTAATTAAAGAAAAGAAAAATAATATGCTCTGATGGACTTTGGCTCTTCTTCCTGTCATACATATCAAAATCTTATTAATATTTTATTGTACAGGTATAATAAAGCTCAGTATTCAAACATACAGCTCTTTTTCAACAGAAACAATATTTATACTTATTCATGTAATTAATATAAATAAAATTCTACAGCAGACTCGGTATGAACAACATTTTTAATATCACAAATTTGTTATAAGGGATAAGATTCGCATAGAGGTAGAATTGAAAGAAGAAAAAAAAACTACTATATTTATTAATTAAAAGTTATATCTCGCTTGCATTTGCTAGCATGATTTTATTTGTTAATGCTTGGAACTGTGAGAAACTAATCTACTACAGATGTTAACTTGTTTTATGCTTAGCAATTTGACTTTGTTTTTCCTGTATACTACAATGTATTAGGCCCAGAGTTTGGTACAGTGTAGATTGAAGGTCTTTATGTAATCAGTTTCTGTTTCATTTTTTTTCTCAATTACTAACAGTTTTACATAATTAAAGAATTACTAGTTCTTAATCATACTTTTAGTCCATATAATAAATGAACCCTGTATATTTCCACAAGTTTGAAGTGTTTGGTCTTTCCATATACACATTTATTACTCTCTCTTTCTCTCTTACTCTCTCCTCACTGCCCCCTTGCAATCTCTCTATCCCTCCTTTTCTCTCTCTCTCTCGCTCTCTCTCTCTCTCTCTCTCTCTCTGTCTCTTTCTCTCTGTTCTCTCTACATTTACAGGTACATTGATACAGCTGAGTTTAAAGATAAATGCATGTGTATGTTAACAGCTCTATAATGTCCATGTAGTTTTATTTACATGTAAGTCCCGATTTGTGTTTTTAACCTGATCATAGTACTTTGATTTCTCTGGCTGAATTACAAGATAAAGACTACAGTACTTAGTTTTTGTGGTCTAATCAGTGGACAGGTGATTAAAAAAGATGCCAGATTCATATCTCTGCCATAGCACTACACTCCTTTGGCAAGGCATTAATCTGTATGTTTGCCAGCTTTGACCCAAGTGAAGTAAATAGTTCATGATAGAAATATTCCATGTATGCCACAGCACCTTTATATACAGCTAGTCTAGAGCAGGGGTAATGTTATCTGTTACAAGCCAGAAAGATGTTAATTCTACATGTAAAATGATAAGAGTTTAATAATGCCCTTTTTGCTGCAAGCAGATCATGTGTAGATCTTGCGTCTGTGACTCTGTGAATACAATGAAGGAATTGAGATGTGCATGTACAGTGTATGGTGGATTCATTTCCATAAACTGTGATGACTAATCACTTTCCGTTACTGTGTATCTCACAGATGCAGTCGCCAATTCAGCCCGGGCAGCCGGTATGCGACCGTCGGAGGCCAACCAACATGCGGACAAGACTGTACGAACTGTGAACAATGGGGGCCCTGCAAAGCATTCTGATGAATTCATCATAGGGGACCGCGTCATCGTTGGGGGCAACAAACATGGCCACGTCCAATTCCTGGGCGAGACGCAGTTCTCCAGCGGGGAGTGGGCGGGCGTGGTCCTGGATGAAGCCATCGGTAAGAACGATGGCTCCGTCAACGGCATCAGGTACTTCCAGTGCGAACCCAAGAAGGGGGTTTTTGCACGGGCGGATAAGCTGGTGCGAGAGTCTGCGGGCCACGTGGACAGTAAGTCGGCCGTGGGGGGTATCGCGAGGCATGTGCCATCGACGCCCAGGATGGGCACGAGGGTGTCTTCACCCAGGAGCTCTATGTCAAAGCCACCGGGTGCCAAACCGGGTCTCATGATAGATGATAAGCAGGATCCTGCAGGTCTTAAGGTAAATCAAATTTCTGTTCACCATCAAGAGGCACATTTACACTATGGTCCAAATATGAAGATTTTACTAACATCGCGATGTTCAGTGGAAGTTGTTCTGCCAACATTGGCATAGTGGCCAAGCAATTTTCATCATAACATCACGATGGCGTAATTGCTGACAACCAATTCTACCAAAATACTTGCAATGTTTGTCTTGTAGTGTAATTGGGTCTAAGACAAAAACATATAAATGTTCTCAATAGATAAAATGTTTCAGCCTTTATTATCCAAATTATAATGTGAACCCTTCAATCGTGCTGGTGTCCATAATGAGTACTCAGCAAAATTATAGTCTATGTTAGAAACAAATTTTATATATATTATATTGAAGCCACAAAAAAGTCAGTTTAGAGAAATAATGATCTCTTAATTAATGTGTAGATGTTTAATGTGTACATGTACATGTAAGTTACTCCTTGACAATAACGAATGATAGATGATTCTCACAAACTTATCTGACAAACTAATCAGACCGTAACAAAGATGGGTCGACCAGATGGGAATAGCTAGCTTCATCTGTTAAAAAAGCCTTGATGTTTATCAGAGATGCATTCATTGGAGAAGTATTCTATTTCAAGGAAGCACTGGCAATGGTCAAGAATAAAATTTTAGGATCTACCAACAAAAAAATGTCTCAATGAATTATGACAAATTTGTTATGAAATTAGTCGATTTTATTGGCAGTTTTAAGTCCATGTGTGCAATCCACCAAACTTACCCTGATGGTTCAAGATGATATGTCGAAAGTGAAGCAGGAAGACATTTTGAATATCCTCACATAGAGTTTCATTACTAAACACCTCATACTACATGTAGCATCTGAAAATCAAGTGAAAATCAAATAAATTGTCTGTTTGGAGTCAGAAGGGCATTCAGTCATATATTGATATTAAGGCCTTACGAAAAAAGATGTTGTATTGCCCTTTGCGACCGACCCCAAAATCATGAAAACTACGGTCGGCTTAAAAAAAAAAAAAATATTGTTTTTTAAAGAATAGAAATATGAAAGCATTCAAAACTGAGAAATACCAGCCCAAAGAGGGAGAAAAAAAGAAGAAAAAAATATGATTTTCGACTGACCCATGTTTTGGCACCTACTACAAGGGCAATACACATTTTTTCAAACTTTTTTACAGAGAGTTAAGCCCTGCTGGCTCCAAACAGGAAATTTAAGGGATGTGATTTTGATCTGGTTATAGTTTAACTTAAAACATGTGCTGATTTATCAATCTATTTAAAAGATAAGATAAACAAATACATGTAGGCGTTGTGAAGGAGAGGAGGCTATCACAGCACTGAAAGGAAGTTGTAGGTTGACGCTATTATCACAAATGTTCATCGTCTCTCGTCATCAACCTACAGACAACTAAAATAGATTCCACTCTGCAGCTATACTCGTCTGTTAGGTGAAAGGATGAACCATTGTTAAAAAATTATCCCCCTTCCTGGGTAGCTGAGTGAAAAAGGCAACTAATCGCGTTAGATCTTCACCATTGAGCTCTCTCCCTCCCTGTCGGGATAGAGCGCTGAGCGAGTGCGGGGATGAGACACCGATTTCCTGTTTTTATGCTGGGGTTCTGTCGGCGAGAAAAATTGACGGTTTAGTCACAGTTTTCCCTTCTAAAGGCAAAGCCTTGGCAGCAATGAGTCATTATGTGATATTAGTGCTTGGTGGCTGGCATGGCTTGTTGTAGCATTAGGACGCAAGATATCGTACGCGAGGGACTAAGGACTTGTACTGTGCTGGATTAATTACTGTGGATAAATTCATTTGCTGTGTGGCATTCATTGCCATTTATTTTGGATGATTATGGAGAGGAGTAAGATCCCTACAAGCCGGAGTGGTTTGCAGGTATTGTAGCATCAGCTTGGTGTGTTTTAAATCTATTATTAATGAGCTTCAGTGGGGTACATACACCTGCAATATGAAGGTACATTGTGTATGTGTGTGACTGCAGTCTCACTCACAAAGGACTCATGATTGAATTAGTCAGACTGTGATGGGAGCTCTGTCTCGCGTCTATTTACAATCACTCAGTATGAATGAATAGTAATATGTAAATGTAATATACTCAATTTATTCTGGGCCCGCAGGCTTAGTGTTATTAATGTTAGTTGGGTGGAGGCAAGGGGGATACTGTTTGACATACCTGACTTTAAGAAATACAACTAGTGTAGATCATTCATGACCAGTTCAAGTAGAGCTTGTGATTCATAAGGATTTTAAAACTGTGGTTGATAAGAATGTCAGAAAACAAAAATATTACAAGAAAAAATATGCAAGGAAATACATCGTACATGTACATGATCAAGTCTTACAATACACCTGTACTAATCATATATTTTGTTAATCAATATTCTAAATACCTGAAGAACCTGAAATGTATCTGTATGCTTGGTTCATGAACTACATGTATATTTGATATTTGAAGAATATTGACAAGAGAGATTTACTTTTGTATGCAGTTTACGTTATGTCAATATGTAGAGAATGACATTGGTAGAGATACAATGTTTACATGATTTTATCACAGAATTTATGGAAAGTAAATAGATAATAAGATGCAGAGAGATAAGAAAGAGAGGATCCTTAACACGAGATTGCAGCATACACAGACATGTGTAATGAATTAGAGGGTCAATCAATGAAGGATGATCATATTGTTGTATGATTCATATCTCGAGTGTGGCGAGGAGAAAGTGATTCATCATTGGACCTTGTATGGTTAATATATATTACGGTCATCTCCAGGTCATGTTCACATATGGTTTTAGTTGTCAAGAAAGGGTTGTTGTGACGGTGAAATGGAGCGATTGTACATGTACAGTATATAGCTTTTTAAAACAAAAATACCACAAATGTCAGCATTGTGCTAGTGTAAAAGGCTAAATATGAAGGGATGTAGAGGAGAAGAGTATGTGAGAAGAGGTAATATTTGGAGAAGTAGAAAAATAAGAATGAAAGATGACAAAGGAAGGACAAATTAGGATGGACAAAAATGTGATGGATAAGGACTCAAGATTGATGAAGATAAGAAGTACCGGTAAGACAAGATAGGAAGTAAGACAAGAGGACGAGTATTGGTAAGAGAGGAACAAAGAAAGGTGGGAGTATAAATGAAAGGGGGATGGAGAAATTAAAAAATAATGATGGATATTCAGATAGGATGGAATGTAATTATGGAGGAACAGATGGCTCTGTTCATTAAAAAATTCAAGTCATTTTTAGTTAACTATGGCTCACAATGGCACAGCCGCAGGTTAATTAACCATTTCTAAATGGTAATCGTGTCATAATCCTTGTTATAATCCAGGTTTGTGGTGACATTGTATAATCTTGTCACAAACAATCACAACTGCTTGTGTTAAATGTAAATTAACAATGATAGCTGATGAAAAAAAGGAGGTTCTATATGTATTTTGTAAGGTTGGAGACAGGGTCCTTGCAAGTGGTAGCAAACTACATTGTAGGCACTTCAAGCTATGCCGGTGCAACTGTGATTGATAATTAAATAATGTGGCAAGTTTTGTTGTAAAAATAATAAAAAAATATATTTTCACTATTTTGTGGGGATATCATTTAGTATCATTGCTCTTTTTGAAGCTACACAGAGCTAAATTTCTTACTGGTTCTGTATTTTCTCTTTCTTTCTTTCATCCCCCCTCCCCCCCCCCCCCCCCCCCCTGCTTGTTAGGTTGGAGACAGGGTTCTTGTGAGTGGTAGCAAGCTAGGGACCTTGAGGTACACTGGTACCACAGAGTTTGCTAAAGGAGAATGGGCTGGAGTGGAGCTGGATGAAGAACAGGGCAAAAACGATGGCGCAGTGGCAGGGACAAGGTAAGATTCCTACTACAGTGAAACCTGTCTATAAAGACCATCCAAGGGAGACAAGAAAAGTGGTCTTCATATGCAGGTGGTCACTAAAGCAAGTTTGACTATTATTTTTTATCCATCTTAAGGAATTGTGGTGGGAAGATAATTGTTGCCCATTCTCGTGCTTCAAACGAATGTAAAACCAAAAAATTTCAGATGATCTTTGAAGGTTAGGTTGGAATTTTTCACCAATTTTGTTTTTTGTCCAGATTTGTCAACGTTTCATCCCAAGAAATGAATGACTTACAAGACTAAATTTTTACAACTTGTGGAAGTTTCTCACCCCAAAATGGCCATCATTAACAACTCAGAACAATTTCTGGTTTGACAGTGAATGATGTATTTTGTGTGAGGTGCTGACAATAAGAAATGGAGCCAAGTCGTCTCATAGAGTTGAATGTTTATAGCTAGTCGGTGGTAACAAACATATCAGATCCCAACATAAAATCAGACAAAAGTCATTCGTTCTTCATGTACGCTCCGTTAAAGCCCCACTGCACTACTTATAGTTACTTTTGTCCTCTATATAGCAAACAATGCCTAAGTGGTGACCGTTGGTCCCCCATGATCCCCTTTTTCTTATGTTAATTAAGAGCTGATTTGATGAGATAACCACTTGTCAGGGACCTTGCAGGGAGGTCTAGCCCTCCTGGCCAAAGTAGGGCAGATTGGCTTTAAAGGTTCTGACCATGTTGCTTTACTGCTTGCACACACTTCATCCAGGTACTTCCAATGCAAGCCCAAGCACGGTCTCTTCGCCCCCGTCCACAAGGTGTCCAAGGTCCGGGGCAAGAACATGCCCCGCCTGTCCACCAGCGACGGGCTACAGCAGGGCAAGCTCAGCACCAGCTCAAGTTCTATCAGCTCCATGGGATCCTCCAATGCCTCCAGCATCTCCAGGGGGCTGGCCCTCAGCTCCGGCGACCTGGGGTCGTCACCAAGGGGGTCGGTGGACTCCAAGAAGACTCAGGTGGGTTCCCCAGCTACTATGTTCCCTTTACCAAAGATGGCAAAATGCTTAAACCAATTCCTGTTAAACCTATTTAAAGTCTATTTGGACAAACAAAAATATGTGTACATTATCTGCTTTATAGAGCCAGAAGGGCATTAACTACAGTACAGTGAAACCTGTGTGCAAAGCCTGCTCAAGAGAGACCACAAAGTGGTCTTTATGTGCAGGTCCCATTGATAGAGGTTCAACGAATACTCTGCCCAAGGGAATGAAACTTGTCTTTATACACAGTTGTTCTTTCTATGCATGTGGTTGCTAAAACAGGTTTGACTGTTAAATGACATGAGTGAATGCTCTTCTTGCTCTCAACAGAAAATACATTGTTCTTTGTTTCAAGAACTGGTGTATGCAGAGCCACATGCATATATGCCAGTTTTGTATTACCAGCAGTAATGCTTTCAATTAATAGTTACACTGTATGTATCTTTATAGCTACTGACATACATCATAGAAGTATCCTACAGCCATAACCATAGTGTCTTCACTTGACTAGGTCATAGTTGTGCTTCCTTTAGATTAATCACTTTTTTAGGTAGTAGCATTCATTGTACATATTACTGAATTCATGATTATATGAAAATTCCATTAACTCTGAAAAAAAGTATTTCAAAGTACACTAAAAATTGAAGCCATTCAGGTTGTAAGGTCTGAAAGTTTGCTAATTGTTTTACCAGCAGTTTCCTTTCCAGAAAGTTTTTGAAAGGAGTTCAGTCTCAAATGCTGACCTTGAAACCAATATTTCCAGTTTTTTTTTTACACACATATATGCATCTTTCGAACAATGCTAAAAAGGAAGACTCGTATTAAAGACATTTTTTTATTGTCTCAAAATGTCTCTACCGGTACTCAAAACTTGTCTATTTTTAGTGTGATAGTGAGTGTGTTGGGTATTGTTCAAAAACATCTCATCTGTTTGGAGCTAATGTAAAGGGCATTAAGTCTGTGTAAAATGACATGATTTAACACCCTTTGGCTCCAAACAGACGATTTCCTGTGGGTCATACAAAAACAATTAATGCTACTGCCTAAAATGACTATGATTGGCTAAACATCGTATTAAATAGAATAGCAACCTTTAGATATAAAATAAAGCAATGTATATAACATTATAGGAATAAAGCTTTAGATTTAATAATCAAATGAATCCACGCTCATCATGAAATTATATTTATACCCTTGATAGCATTAGACTTGCAGAAATAGACTGCTTTCTCCGTAAACAGTTTTTCACTTTATTCAGGTGAAACTAACGATAACCTATCAGAAGGATTTTATTTCCGCTCAAAATACATTCTAACTGGTTTTATTCTAAGTCATCTTTGGCTTGGTATTCGATGAGTTGATAAGAGAGTCGGCTTCTCATCAGCACTGCGGTGCACTCCTTGATCAAGGATTTCAGAAGCACTCACTTCATTCACAATCCACTTCCTTTGGATAAAAGGGATTCCAGCATGTTCCAGAAATAAATGTGAAAGCATGGTTTATTTGGATTCTGCCAGTTTTCAATGCTGCAGTATGCGATAGGTTGTGGACCGGAATGCTTGTCTCCAACCCGATGTCCTCGTTCATGAAGCATGTGATACTCAATTTTGCACCATTGCAATTTCTGATTCATCCAAGCTTGGCCTATGATTTTTGCATGCTGCATTCAAATTAATTTGCAAGATAGGCGATATCATCAATGATATCATCAATATATTTTTGTAATGTTTTTTTAGGGAGTAATATTTGAGAACATCCTGAACCCTGATAAAAATACGAAGAAGAAGTTTATTTTGTAATCTTCACTTGATTCAAAAGTCAAAGTTGTTAAATTTATTAGAACACGTTGTGTTGTTCCTCATAGAACGTTGAGAAGTATTTGCAAGAAGAAGAACAGTTGTCATTTTAAAAGAAATTTTTCTCTCTTGGGTGCTACTTAACATTCCCAAATTTTCAAATAGCAGAGTTATGCAATGGTGCTCTCTTTTGGCTTGCAAGAAATTTATAAAGAGCTGAATATTTATAGTCATGTATTCATAAAGAACACAAATTTGTAGACCAAGGTAAGAGAAATCTGTGTTCTTATTACCTGATATTTTATTTTCAACCTCATGCCTCACTTCTGCAAAAAAAAAAAAAAAATGAATGAAAATTGTATACATGTACTTATTAAGTCAAATCTCTCTGCATTAATCTTCTTTGAGATGGTTATATTCCTTGAGTTATAGCCTATTTTTTTTTTTTTAATTGCCTTAATTACCAGCAAATAGCGATTTTTAAAAAAATTTGGGGAGGGGGTAGAAGAGGTTCTTTTGTAAGTCCTTTATTACTACTAAATAACTTCTCAAACATGGTTTTCAAAGGTCATGGGACTGTTCTTACAACAGACTCTGCCAAACTCTTTCAGTCAAAATATTTCCATGGGGAAAATTATAGAGGCGTTGTCATCAGATAACCTACTGAAAAAGTATTTCACCAAAATGATTTCACAAAGAGAGATTTGATTGTATGATGTATTTTATTGATTTATTCTTTAAACCTTTTTATTTGTGTTATTTATAATTTTAATTTTGCAAATCACTGATTTTGTTTGCATTGTTTTTTCCCCCTTTTTCCCTTTCATTGCCAACCACATCAATTTTATATAAATATATATACATACCTGAATCCTTATAATCTGCGTTCTGCAATATGTATCATCACCTACATTATCATGGAACATCTGTATATATACCTCGCTCTCACTTTCATTTTATACCTGTGCTTTCACTGTAATACATACGAACATTGGTCATCTCTCTGTTGCAATGGTATATATCACACTTTCATTTTAAACTTTAAATATTTTCATGCAATCCATATAAATATTGGCTATCTGTCTATGACAATGGTATAAATTTATCACACTTTCATATTAAACTTTAAAAAATTCTGCCACTGTAATACAAACAAATGTTGGTCATCTTTCCATGACAATGGAATCCTTGGATTTTACCATCATACACCTTCACACACTGAATATATTCATAACAACCATGATACCATTTGCTTCTAGCAATTTTCTTGATATTTTCCCTCAATCGGGACCATCTCATTTTTGTCATGAAATTTTGTCATAAATGTCTGATTTGGGTGATATTTGACTTCTTCATGCCTTCATTCTTTTGTTTAATCTCAAACAAAATCCTCTTTGAAATCAACAATTAATTATTATTTGTTTCAAATGTGAAATCTTTTCATCGTTGGTGGTGAAAACCAATTTGGACGAAAATTGAATCTTCCCGATGGATGAAATTTATCGCCTCCTCTCTCGTTACTCTCCATTACCAACCCATTGGCTTCTAAAACAACAAATCTCTGATGTCTGTGGGTCCTAAAACCACTGACCCCTGTCTCTGTGGACATTGATAACTTGACCATGGCTGGCCGCTGGGTATCAAAATATGCCTCTGTCCACTCCTACCCATCACTCCATCCCCCTCTCATCCTAACCCTTTTATGAGGTCAAATTCTGGCCTCCATCCATCTCATTATTGGCTCCTGTTACACCCTATCGATCGGTTCTCCTGGCCTTTTTTTTAAATTTGAATTTGGTCTTATTCCTTTGTTTGATTCTCTTCCGACTCCTGGAGGCGATATCATTGGTTTAATCACATTGTCCAAGTCTCCTTGCTTCTTTTCATAATTTCAATCAATTCCTCTGAATGGAATGTTTCCACTTTTCATTCCTCTACAATACCAAATCCATCCCATACACATCCTTTTTTTCCATCCTTACGTTCTCAATCACTAATGATGCATTTTTAACAAACTTGTTTATTACTAATCACTGAAAACACAATCAAATTCTCTGTACAATGTTATCACATTATCATTGTTGATGCAACTCTTTGATTTCATGCTAAAACACTTCTGCATTTCCTTTATTGTATATTTCATTGTATGTTTCATTGGCATGACACTTTGCTATGTATCCTTGATATCATCTCTCGCTTTCCTCACTCTTCACATCATTGTTTCCTATATTTCTATACCATCACTACCACTATTGCCACCAACACCTCCACTGCCATTTCCCCTTCACCACCACTACCACCACCACTACCACGGCTACCACCACTGTCACTACCATGACTTCTACCACTTCCACCACATCTACCTTTACCACGACTGCCATATAATTTACACTCTCACCATTCAAATCTATACCCCACCATAATTCCTACCACATGTTCCATCTCTTGCACCACTACTATTACCATCACTGCCATTAAAACCTCCACCATTAAACTCCATGTCTCTTCCCGGAACTCCAACAACTCCACCACTATCACCACCCTCACTACCGCCTCTGCTACCACCACCACTACCCTCTCTGCTACCACCACCACTGCCAATGCCTCTCTGCCACCTCTACCATTGCCACCACTCCTACGACAACCACAATTACCCTTCCTGCTCCCTCGTCCACCACTGCCTCCACATTTGGCCATGCCCTTCCACCATTGACCCCAATAGCTCCGGCGACCAAGCGAAAGCCGTATCCCCTCTTCCTCCTCGAAACCGAGGAAAGAGAAAGAGCAAAGCGCCAGCAGCAGCACGGCAGCCCAGCCCTCCACAAATGGCACCCGCCGGCAATCCGACTCGGGGTCCGACTCTTCTACAGCCACCTTCTCTGAGTCTGAACCCATCACCAAAGTCGAGACTGCGGAGTCTTACTCCTCCTTACCCGAGTCTGATTCTCAGGTACTTAACGTTCAAAGGGGCAAAAGAGATCAGTATCTGTTTATCTTTATGCATTGTACATTGTGCGATCATTTGTAAATTGCATATCTAGCATACTATTAAATGCTATTTTGGTGTATAGTTAGTAGGAGGCTTTCATAGGAGTAGTACTAGTTACAGATCATTGTATGCACACGTTGTTACCAATAGCAAATTGCAATGCTTCATCATTTTATCAATATGCACATCATGAATTATTATTGTAGAAGTATGGTTCATATTAAAGCATGTACGGGATGTACTAACTGATATAAATCATCTATGTTATTTATTCATCAGTCATTAGTTACTAGGAACTCATATATTTGATATATACGTATATGCTGAGAATTTCATATTCAATACATCTGACAGAGATATATCACTCTATTCAGACTGCTTACTATATTTAGCACATTTAACACAGTGGATCTGTCTGGCCTAGCTGAGTAAGATAATCCAGGAGGTTTGAACGTCAATCCAATGGATTTATAGGAATTAGAGAACAGATGAAAGAATGGATATGTAATATTCCAATAAAAAATGTCATTTTTATGAGCTTGTTTTCAAAAAGTGATGACAGTTTGTTTGTGAGTTGGTCTTTACCACAGCATTTTTTCACCTCAAACCCAAACCGTTGATATCTCCCCTGCTTTACTTCTTCCTAGTTCAGTGTCTTTGACCACAAAATATTTCTCATACCTGGTAGAAAGACCCCCCCCCCCCCCCTCAAGGCATGTTGGTTTGTGGTGTAGACCATAGGGGCATTCACACTGCGAGCAAAAACCATCGGTTTTCTCACATTCAGGAGTTTTGTCTGAAGTTGCTAGCCAACTACCCATAAACATGACATAAACCTGAATCGTAAAAACCACCTCTTCATTGTGTTTCTTTATTTAACCGCCAGCTAAAACTCCACTGGTTTTTGTAGTGTAAATGATCCCTGTCAAAACACAAATGAATTATGGAATTAGCATTAGCATTATTAACTAGAATTAGCAAACATCCACATTTTTTAATGGGTTTTTTCCACTAGTGTAAATGGTATTTTTTTTTTTTTCTTTTTTTCTGCAATGTAAATGGACTTTATATCTGTCACTTGTTGGTTTGGAACTGTCAAAATGTTGAAGCAGAGATTTATGGTCGTATATCATGATGAGGATCTCAAAGTTTCTCCTCCTACTGTATATTTATCTACAAAATATCAAATACTTGATAATGGGCGAAGCATTATTATTTTTATTTTTTTTAAACTCCTACATGTATATGTTATTTGTAGAAAAAATGTTGCTGCTATTCGTCCAAACTATCAGATTTTGACTGGAGCTAGTTAAACATTTCGAAAGTAAAACATGAAGGACTATTGATATGACTGCAAATACATGTATGATGAATTTGACTTGGAAAACAGCTACTTGATTAAACCTGTGAAAAGGGCATTAATTGTATGTGTACAGTATTAACAACTAAATTATTCACACCCTTCTCACGTTTTGTAATTTTTGAATTAATGAAAAATTGATTTGTCTTGATTTTAGTTTCTTGATAATGTGACATATTAAAGCTTACATCTAAAACTATTCAACAAAGGCCCTAATTCAACCAGTCCACCTTTTATTCTTGAGTTCCAAAGGAAAAAAGAAAATCAAATATACAAGGGGTATGAATAATATAGTTGTTAACTATATATAATCCTAATAATATTATGAACCCACACAGCCTTGCCACGGGCAGCAAACCCTGTCAAATATTGTAGACATTTTACTCTTATTTTTGGAAAACAAGAGGAAGAAAGAAAGAAAAAAGCTTTGTTTTTAAAGGTTACGTACTGAAACTGAAACCGGCACTTGCAAATTGTGAAAGTTGTTCTATGGGAGGATAAATATCAAAATCAAATTTTAATGAAACAAAAGTCATAGGGCCCCAAATTTGATTCTTATAAGTACATTAGTGCTAGTTACTTGTAGACCATGTTGTGGCAAATAAAGAGTTTTATGGACTAAACAACTACTCTTATATTCTTGACTTAAAGCTATTTATAAAAAAAAAGAAAACAAGAAGAAGAACAGGAGAATAAGGAGAAGGAGAAGGAGGAAAAGAAGAAAAAAGAAGGAGGAAGAGAGAAAGGTGAAGAACTTCAGGCTCTGTTAGAACCTGTCACTACGTATAATTTCAAGCCAATTTAGTCATTATTCGTATCCAGGGTAGAGGGAACAGATTAGTGGTAAAACGGGCTGAGCCCCTAACAGAAATGATCAATTTCCTACTTGATTCCCGTCCTCGCCACCAAATACTTCCTGTCTTTCAGCTAGGCATATGTCTTTTATTATTTCCCTTATGTTGAAGTGAAAATTGAAGGAATTCCTCGGCTTTCCCCTCTGATTGGTTAGGATAGTATATACAAACCTTGCTGTGGTTAAGTTATATTTTTTATTTTATTTTCCTGTAAAAATATTAGAATGCTTGGTCTTTCACATATATTCTCTCAATTTCCTTTCCTCCTTACATTTTTTCTCTTCTCCCAAATTCCTTATTTCTTTGTTCTTCTTTCTAAAGTTCATTTTCTAATGTTAGTCTTCTTTTCTCTTGATTAATTCTTGACCCAAATATTTATTTTTTTATTTTTCAGTTCATCCCCTCTCATTTGATCTCATATTCCCCTTCTCTATCTGTGAAATTTTGGGAGCCCTCAGAAAACATGTCCTCTCCACCCCTCCCCTTACTTGTGAAAAAAAAATCCATGAAGGAGATTAATAAAATTGTACACGTAACACTCATAGAATAAACCACTTCTAAAAATATTAGTTTCCACTGGAATGATTGCAAATTACAGTTCTGCCCCCTACAATTATTTTTCTTAGAATTTAGCCGGCAAAAGTACAGTTTTCATTGTAATGCCATTCCGTGGCTTGTATTTTGATGAAAACCTGTATTATTGCCATTTGAAATCAATCCTCACCCAATGGCCATAGGGTGACTTCTGATTTGAGATGAAAATGTATTTTTCTTGCGGTCGGTTGCTCGGAACTTCACCCCCTTGTTAAAGGCACAAGAAAGTAACACTATGACTTTCTGGATGTATATACCGGTAGTACTCCATGTATTAGACTTCAGAAGGGCTTCTACCAAGGTGTTTTTGAAAATGTATAGTTTCTTTAAATTCATATTAACTAGATAGCTTTTTCGTGCAAACATATGATAGAGAGGAGCCATTTAATTCAACTATTCAAAACTCTTAATGTCATATTTGGTGTTGCTATGTTAGATTTACTTCATGCAATTTTTGCGAGTTTGTCAAGAGCAATAAGGGCACTTTTTATCTCTAAAGAATACCCCAATGAAACTGATACAATAGGAATTATATTGATTGTGAGAGAGGCTATGGTAATAGCTAGCTATCAACGAATGAAGTAGGAAATATCCTTCAATTTTAAAAGAGACTTGAGTAATATTTGCGCATATTCTTGAAAGCAATTCCTTATTTGTACATTACTCATGTGGTATGTCTTGACTCGTTTCCAGCTGGTAATTTACATAATCTCTAAAGGGCTCAGAGTTATACAAAAATTTCAGCTTACAATAATAAAAAAAAATTAAATCTCTTTTCTGCTGCTTTCTTTAACCTCTCCGCATCACTGGTACTCTTAAAGGGATCGTTTAACAATGTTAAATCTGAGATACACGGCCCTACGTGTTATCAGTGTATGAAGGGAAAGTCCACTCTGATCTATTAAAGGTTGATTTCAATAGAAGCAGAAAAACTTGTTGAAGTTTAATTAATCTTAAATTTCTCTTTCCTATAAAGAAAATATCATTCAGGTCTCCTTGATATAATCATTCCATATTTTTTCTACACAATCCCTGTATGAAAAAGAATTATATACCTTCATCAGCAACTAAGAAAAATGGACATTTATGAACTTTTCTGTACCGATAAAATGGGAGAGGACCTCATGAGATACGTCACAGCATTGCCAACGTGTGTTCGATAGAATACAATCACACAAATTCATAACTTTCTTACTCTATATCGGATTTTGCTCAAACTTTCACTGCTCGGTTTCTCTCATTTTTCTGCTTTTATTAAAACCAACCTAATATTAGGGTGGACTTCCCCTTTGACAGGTTGCCTTTGGCTTCAACTCAGCCAGATTATTCTCCCCTGCAAAATATTTTCGTACACCAACCCAACATGCTACGGAGCTCAACAAAACGTCCCCTTTTTTACTCCAAGAAAATATAATGGAGACTTGCCTTCCAGCATTGTTCTTTCTTCTGGTTGTTGTGATTGATGGACTTAGCATGGCTGTCCTCCTAGTACAACCCTCTCTTTCCAGTCGAGTTGAAAAGAAAACATTTCAATAGGCCTGTCTTCATCAGCTCGAGATTGCCAAATAGCCCGCTATTTCTGATTTGGGAAATAATCCTGAAATTACAAATCTCTTCTTCACCACCTCGAGACTCGCCCTCGAAACTCGAAACTTGAGCTTGAGAAATTAGCTCGAGAAATTAGCTCAAGATATTTCGCTCAGCAAATCGGGCATAGTGCGAGTGTTCGGGCTTGTGCAGATGCACCGGACAAATGGCGGGATATTTTGCAAACTAGCCCAAGATATCTTGGGATGATTATCTCTACCAAATATCCCGCTAGTTGCAACTTCGGGCTGATGAAGACGCAAATTAAATGGATTATTTGTGATCAGGATAGTTGAAAAAGCAGGTTATTTGGCAATCTTGAGCTGATGATGACAGGCCTAGTGTGGAACATGTACCATTAAAGCCGGGCCTCTGGTCTAGCCCGCAAGTCTAGCCATGTGTTTTTGTTCCACTTCACTCTAGAGTCTCTGATTGAAAAGATTGGATTTTAAAGTTTTGACTTGGCGCAAAACTTTTATGGATGAGAATTGAGAAGCCTTCCTCCTAGAAAAAATTCATAAAAAGTTGTTTTAATACGCGGGTCCCCTCCTGGCCAAGTTCTTTTTACAAGTTTTAGCAAGAGAACGGGATAAAAATTTGGACGGACAAAATTTTAAAGAGAGAATAAACAGCTCTTTACTCAATAGGTTAGTTCGACTGTATTGTATTGATTCTGGTATAATATTTCATGAACAGAGCTGTTGAAATTGTACCTGTAGATGAGCATATAATAATCTGTTTTATTCTATACTCAGTGATAACATGGGAGCAACATTGAAGTGAAATTTTCTCACTTTGTTCAATACTTCATCCCTACGTTTGTTTCATGGTTACTTTTTTGTAGTACAAAAACTCTATGAAACTCTATTATGAATGTTTGACATTTCTTCAAAGTCAATCAGACAATAATGTTAGATCAATACGCGTGTACGCATCAACCGAAAGTAAGTCGACATCTCTCTGGCCAACTGCAGTCATTTTGCATTGCAGGGGACCTTTAAAACAAATCGGATACTTCACACAGATGTACTGTTAGGGATTCTAAATCTAATACCGGCCTCCAGCAGGGTATTTCTTGGCTTGATGTGACTCTGTAAAGGGAACAACCTGTCAAAACTTCCCTGAACCTGTTGTGTCTGCTGGGGCTATATTCTGGCACAGAGGTCATAAATATGACGGGCTGGCAAAATATGCCATTCTGATACTGTACATGCCAATTATGATGTCTGATGGACGAGGGATTATTTTTAGAACACAAACACGATACCTATCGCCTCTCCAGAGGCTCCCCACCCCCTACCTTTCTGTCTCTCCTACCCTAAGGAGATATGACATATTTTGAAGGAAAACATATGCTTAAGTCCCTCTGTTGGTTCAGAATGGGGGTATTGGATTGGGGAGGGGGTGGGGTCGACTTGAATGCATCTTGGATTTGAAGAGTGGTGACTTATACCATCTAGTGTGGTAACCGCAGTAGACTAGGTATTGAAGGGTGATGCAAGATGGGGTTTGTGACCATCACAAATAATGACATGTTGAAGAGTGTAATAATGAGAAGATGAGCCCAATTTTTTTCTCTTTTAGGAAAGAGATAAAAAAGAAGGAGATAAAAAAGAGAAACAAACAAATAAACCAAGAACGTGAAGTGAAACTTGTTGTTGTTGTTGCTCAGCTTGAAGAACAATTCAAAATCCTTTTTGACATCTACATTAATTTAATTGTAGTATCATCTTGTCATGTGCTTTTAATTGATGTCTCAGAGCAAATATGTTCATGTAGTACATTAAGAATTTAGTTTCATCATTATTTTATGTGATGTTTAGTATGATTGTATTTCCTGTTATCAATGATGATTTAAAAATTCATTCTTAACCCTCATGTATGTTTTCATTCATGTAATCACGTCATTGGTTAGTCGGTATTACTGAATTTTCACATCGGTGTATTACTAACAGAATATGGGGCACGTCCATATGTCATACGTCGTGATAGACAGTAAAGATAGCTACCCGAGGCAAACAACATGTACCGACATATACATGTTCTGTAACAAACATGTACATGTTATAATACATGTAGGTAAACATGTTTTGCAAAACCGTGACATAATGTATTAGGAAACTATAAAGGCATAGTCTGACCTCACCGGAACTCACCAATAACGATTAACTGTGCATAATGATAATGAGTTAATGATATATTTGGTAACACCTCACTGATAATGATGATGATGATGATTCACAGCATTTGTATGGCGCCATATATCTGTTTAAAAAAACATTCAAAGGCATGAGCTCCTCCAAAAAAGTTGGCATTTAAATGTCTGAAGGAAGATTATTGCAACAAGAAAAAAATTGTTGGTTCTGTCAATCGAAAAACATGGACACTGCTTCCATCCCTTCTTCTGCCACTGACATCACATTGAAGAAGTGCAATTCCTGCTCACAGATATTATTGTTGAGTTCTATCCTCCAAGCGATCTCAACGAGATGATAAAATCGTTGAAGAAGGCTCATTAGCTTAAATGGCTCTGAGGGGAGCCATTTGGGAACGATTTATCATTAAAGTTGTCTAACTGTTATCATTCTTGGTGAGGTATGACCAGGCCTTTATATTAAAGCATGCTAACTTTTTAACATTTGGTTTTAGTTGGTTGTTTAATTGCATCTTGTTATATTTGATTTGTATTCTTGCCTTCCTCCTCATTCCTCTATCTAACCTCCTCTCCTGCTGACCTCATGGTGACCTCATGGTGACCTCATTTGATGACATCATTAATGACATCATCAGTTGATAGAGCATGAGTTAGCCATCCTGAGAGCACAACACCAACAGGTACCATTAATACTAACACATTGGATGTTTGGGAATCATTATGGAGTTCAGATGTCTTATCTTGTTGTCTTAGTATATTTCTATGTTACTTTGGTGTTTTATTCATTAATTTCCTTATTCATTTTTGTACTTATTCATTTATTTATGTATTATTTTATTTTGTTTGTTTGGTAATTTGTAGGTTTCACAATGTTAGAGGTGGAGGTGTACTGATGTTGCACACCTAAGATGCTAGTCCATGTCAATGTTATAATTTTGAAGTATAACTTATACAATTGTTCTTTATGTATATGTATTACTTATCCTCCCCTCCCCCAAAAGAAAAAAAGAAGAAAAAAACAAAACAATATCAAAACAAATTCATACATACAAACAAACTATCAAACAATAAACAAAGCAAAATCTTACTAAACTAAACAAAACAGCGACAATAGATACAAAATAAGGAGTTTTAGCATATTTTAATCTCACATGTTCATCACATGTATTAAATGCTTCACTTGAGAATTTAATTATAATACAGAAACTCACCAAAAACATGCAACATAATATCTGTGTCAAGTATTCTTCATGTTGTATGCTATTCTGCTTCCCCATAGTGCTAACATAGTTGGAGGATAAGCTTATAGTAAAGTCTTTTCTGCTTGATATTATAATTATTATTATTTGTCTGTGTAATATTATTAATTATATCATCTGCTTGGAGCCAGAAGGGTGTTAACTCAATTTTTTACACAGAGTTAATGACCTTCTGGCTCTGAATGAACAATATGCTTAATATCTTACATTGCTCTCCTACTATCAGAGCATACTTGCAGCTTCACTTGTAGGCCTACTGTTTGTTATACCCGGGAGAAGTAGAAAAAATCATGAATTTAGAAAGTATGAAAACTTCATCTTTCATTGCTCCAAGCTCCATATACAGTATATACAACAACATGTATCATGATTGTATCACCATATTACCACAATTTTTTTTTAAAGATGAATATATAAATGTTGAATAAAATAGTTACAGCAGGTTTTTGTTTATTCATGTATATCTACAATCCATGTAGAGATCAATATATCTGTTGTTGATATATCATGTTTTGATGTTTTTAATTAATTTATTTATTATTTATGTTTCATTTATTTTATGCATACTGCATGACCCATTTTTGTTTGCAAGAGAGAAATTTAGCATTTTGGATTCTAAATCAGTACTCATTTCCTTGTGAATTGATCCAAGTCATGAATTTAACCATGGAACTCCAGGCTGTGGTAGTTTCATGATTTACCCATCTCGGCAGTAGTCTAATCCTCAGATCCGATTGCTTTCTTGTTTCAGTATGCGCGTGAGAGCGAGGAGTCGGTGGAGAGTCTGAAGGAGCTGGTGGAGTCAGGTGACAGGGAGAAGGTGGAGCTAGTTCAGAGACTAGAGGAGACACAAAGGTGAGTACCTGGGCTCCGTCTTACAAACATTTTTTTTGTTTTTTTGTAGCATTTTTCATTGTATTCATTCAGTACAAAATATATTTGAAAAAAACATACAGCTTCATTGATTTACATAACATATCAAAATATAAAGAAAATTGTACATCCCTCAAAAAATACATAATATAGTCCAAATCAATCGCAGTTTGCAGTCTCCTATCTCTTATGTACATAGTTGCGATCGATATCAATCGCAAATCAGTTGCGATTGATATTGAATCTTTGTAAGATGGGGCCCTGACCTACACAATCCCAAAACCTCTTTATTATTAATGATCTCAATTAAAGGCTCGTTCAGATATGACGCGTAACACCAGCGCAAACAAAAATTTAACGTTTAAATGGACGGCAACTGCCTGCAACAAAGATCCTACGAGTATTCACTTAGCTCTGTGTTCTAAGATATAGAAATGTGATGCTTTTTACACTTTAGTGAGTCCTTTAATCTTCTTATACAGTTAAAAAAAGAAAGAAAAAGAGGTTATTCTAATCATTTAATTTTTTTTATTAAAGCCCCACTGTCCTACTTCTGGCTACTTGCTCCCTCTATTATAGAAAACTTCCCAATCGGTGCCTGTTGGTCCCCCATGATCCCCATGATCCCCTTCTTCTTATGTTAGTTGAGAGCTGAGTTAATGAGATAGCCACCTGTCAGTGACCTCGCTGTGTGGTCTAATCCATTCTGGCCCAGTAGTATTGACGGTCTTTAAATTAATGTATTCATGTAATGTTAATCAATAATTTTCTCTTATATTTACTTTATTACAGACAAGTTGATGATCTTCAATTCAGGATAGCAGAGGCCACAATAACCTCAACAGATCTTCAGGTAATCTATATATCTTTGATAGATATTCACTGTATCGGGTTACTTGTGACATATATAACTATGTTCCATATAAATCTTCTATTTAACTCCTTACCTGTTTGTTCTCGCTTTTTATAATTGGAATTATTCATGGAAATTTCCATCAAGTTATTCAAAACTTAAAAGAATTATAGATTGTTTTACAGATGGTCCCTGTGGTTGTCATTCTTTTGGATAGAGATATACATTTGTGTTCCATATGGGAGACACTCACTTATTTGGGAAGCTTTCAAAGCCCTATTTGCAGATCAAAATTGGGAAAATCATTGCAAAGTTTTAAGCGTGATCTTAAGGTTATTTTGCACTTTTGCATTTTGACTACCATTCTTATGATTCCTATTGAAAATGCAATGTGTTTTCTCCCACACTAAACTGGAATCATTTATTTTAAACTATTTTAAACTTATTTTAAATGTCTTGATGACCCCTACAGGAGGAGCATGAGACGGAATCTCAAAAGTTAAAGCAGCTGTCCTCAAAACTTGCAGCTGAAAGTAAGAAAACAGGCAGCTTGGAAGCAGAAATCTTAGACTTCAAGGTAAAGTCATACACAGAGTACATGAACCTTCATAGCAATGTTACCCCCCCCCCCCCCTCCATATTGTTCCCCATAGACATTGATGTCTATATCAACACTTGTAAAGCTGGTCTTCCACAATTGTATCTTCGGCAAAAAAAGTTTGAATGTCACATTCTCAAGGGACAATTGCCCGCTTGCAATTTTTACACTACCGTAATCAAATTCCCTACTTTAACACTGGATCCCCCCAAAAACAGTTTTGGACACTCTTCTCTGACATTATAGTACATTATACAACACCTACGTGGATCCTTGTCATTTGATTGGAGGATTGTTGATCACATGATATTCAATAGATGTTATATTGCACGGTCGTGCATTTTTGGTTATATGCGCCGTGCATTTTTGGTTATATGCAGACTGTGTACCTCTCAGCCGTGCGCGCGCGTATCCCTGCGTGTATCTGACGCGAAGGCAATCTGAATGTAATCGAGAAGGCTTGACTCCAACTTTAATTTATCTGTAATATGAGGAGTAAAGCATAATTTGTTGATTAACGTTCTATTAGATCTTCTTCGATGTTGTATAAAACAAATAATGAATGTTTTTCATTCGTTCAATGGTGCGAATATTTTCATTCGTTGAAAGATTAACGTTAATTCTATTCAACTCGGCTGACGCCTCGTTGAATAGAATGTTAATCTTTCAACTCATGGAAATATTCGCACTATTGATCTCATAACCATTCATTATTTGTATACTATTGCAGTGTCATTCTGCTCCACGTCATAATCTTCCCCTCCCAGTTGGTTCGTGGACTGGTATCTTGCCCTACATTGCTTTCCAACAAATCATTCAAAATACGCTGATGTCTTTTAACGTGGCCCAAGTATTTTTGCCTTTCCATCTTTAACCATTCCTATCAGGAGCACTTTACCCAACCCTAACCTTATACCGGGGGTTCTCAAACCTTTCCGTTTATGAGTCTAACACAATGGCCCATATCCTACTCAAATTTAGACCCAATGCTACATTTAAACTTGGTATAAAGTTGAATTAAACGAAGAAAGGTACATTGATGTACAAGTTTTCCTATTGATGAGCGTGACTTATGGGGCGTTGCAAGAAAGTTTCAATCAATTGCAAATCCCCCAAATCAAGCGTAAGTCTTGTGATTAATTGCAAATTTGCAATTGATCGCAACTCGACTTTCTTGCAACGCCCCATTAGTAACAGAGAGAGGGGGAGAATAAAAGCTAGATCCAGTTAACTTAATTTAATTGTTAAAACTTTAATCCTAACAAAATCCTAGGAAATTTAGGAGACTAATGGGGCGTTGCAAAAAAAGTGGAGTTGCAATCGATTGCAAACATCAGTTGCAAATTTTACAACTTGCAATCAATCGCAACTTTCTTTGATTGTTATGATTTGTATGTTTTTTTTCTGTTGTAATAACACTCTGATCAGTTTGTCTGTAGTAGCACTCAATAAGAATCAATTATTATTATTATTATTATTATTGTGTTCATTTTTTTAATTTTTTAAAATGTAGTCTGTACCTTGTTTCTCTTTGAATGCTATACTTTTGCTTTTTTTTTTATCTTCTTAATCATTTGATTGAAATGTCAAAGTTTTATAATGTTTTTATTGCCCATTGACTGTTTTTTACACATTGTTTTTAATTGATGTTGGAATTTGGAAATATATGATTTGAATCAGATTTCAATTGAATTCATGGTCTGCTGCCCCCTGTAGAGTCAAAATGAGGAGAAGGAGTTCAAGATCGCCGAGCTGGAGATGGAGGCCTCCACCTACACGGAGCAGATGGAAGAGCTCCAGAAGCAGCTGGAGGAGACCAGGATCCACATGGGCGAGCTGGAGGCAAGGACCAAGGAAGGGGAGAGGACCGGGGAAGAGGCAGAGCAGCACAGGAGGAGGGTGGCCGAGCTGGGGGTGGAGCTGGAGTCGGTCAGAGGGAGCAAGGAGGAGCTGGAGAAGAAGGTCAAAGTCTTGGTAAGTTCAATCCGAGGGTTCAGTGACACAAAGACGTAACTCCATATTTTGCCAAAATGAGTATTTGATATCAAAATGTTCAGAAAACTGGGGCTTTCCAGGAAACACAAAGACTTAACTCCACCCAACACCCCATTGAAGTCAATGGCTAGTGAAACATAGACTTAACTCCTTAAAGGGATTGTTTAACAATGCCAAATCTGAGATACACAGCCCTACGTGTTTTCAGTGTCTGTGATATGGTGTAATATTGAAGCCCTAAAAAAATTGCGCTTCAAAATGATCAAGAAGTGCCTCAAAAAAGTAAAAATCTTTGAGTGACCGGTTTTACCATACTCGATTTCCCCAATAGACTGTAGTGTTATGAAAACCGTCAGGCGATCGGTTTTCAAAATTTGTAATTCCAATCATAAATATCTTGATAATCAGACAGGCGATCGGCTTGTAAAAGTCATGGGGTTCCTGACTGACCTAAAGGTTTATAATTATCATTGCATCATGAGCTAAATCCAGAATTTTGTTTCAGAATCTGAGACAAAGTTACCGGATCCCTTTAAGGCCCAAGTGCTCAGTGACACATAAACCACTTTTTCTCAAAATGGCCAAAATGGAGTTTTTGTGTCACTGACCCCTCAAATCATACATGTAGATGATTGATACCGAAAGCTTTCAGTGGTTGGGGTACTGGTAATCATAATGTAGTTAAGGCTTCTACCGGTCATAATGTTGCGCCTAGTAACTGAAGGTTAGTAGACCCTAAACTGCATGCGATGTTCAAGATTATGTGGTGTAACTTTGCACCACATACATGTAGGATCATATCTTTGAGAGGGCCTCTGGTCCTGAAAAGCGCTATATAAGAACTAGCTATTATTATTATTATTAATGCTAAAGTGTTAGTTCAACATATAGTGCTAGGATATTGTCATATACTTAGCAACAGAAGTAAGGAATAGTAATATTCTGGGTTTATGATAAGCATATGTAGAGAACTTGTTTTGGTTTAATGTTGTGTATGCTACAGTGTGGAAATGATCATATTGGAATTAAAGCATAATTCTACAAATTCTAATTGTACTCAAAAAGATGCTGTATCTAACTTCCTGTATTCTCTTTGTTGCAATTGTTATTTTCAGGATAGTGAATTGAAGACTGAGATCGGTCTAAGAGAAGAAAGAGATGACGAAATAGCAGGTTAGTATAACCAATGAGTACATCACCAATAAAGTAAAATAATGTTGTCTCAAAATGTATCCATAAACTAGCAATGAGTTACATCTATGGAAGCTTCTGTATGTACAAGTTAAAAGATAAGAGTCAAATTTTGGAGATCATTGATATATCAGGTAAAATAATCTGCATTTGTCCACAAATTATATTTTACATTATCAGTTTGTGTATTGTAAGACATTGTTGAGTATTCTTATTTTCTAAAGTATCGATTGTAATAGTAAATTCATTATTTTTAATTTGTTACGTTTTCTAAACTGATTTGTACTAAAATACATTGTTAAGCAGTCTAAGGGGTTAGGCCCGACTAGCACATATGTGCCATTATCTGGCCCCTTTTACCAACCGATAGTTTCTCTTCTTGTTTATCTTAACACATTTTATGAAATGTATTACTGTTTTGATGTTGGTAAATAAAATAAAGTATAATATGAAACATCAGGATTATCATTATGACAAATTTGCCAGTTTCATTTTCATATATTTTTATGCCTCCGCCACCGAAGGTGGTGCCGGAGGCATCATGTTTTTGGGTTGTCCGTCCGTCCCGTTTGACCGTTATCACAATATCTCAAGAACCATTTAAGATTTAAACTTAAGACTCGGGAATAGTATTTATCACCATAGGAAGACGATCTGATTAGATTTTGGAGTACGTAGGTCAAAGGTCACAGGTCACAGAGGTCAACTTATGAAATTCCTTGTATTGAGTTTGTTAGCGCGATATCTCAAGAACCATTTGAGATTTAAACTTCAAACTTAAGGATAGTATGTATCACCATAGGAAGACGATCTGATTAGATTTTGGAGCACGTATGTCAAAGGTCAAGGGTCACAGAGGTCAACTTATGAAATTCCATACATTGAGATTGTTATCATGATATCTCAAGAACCACTGGAGATTTAAACTTCAAACTTAGTGATAGTGTGTATCACTATAGGAAAACAATCTGATTACATTTTGGAGCACGTAGGTCAAAGGTCAAGGGTCATAGAGGTCAACTTATGAAATTCCATACATTGAGATTGTTATCATGATATCTCAAGAACCACTGGAGATGTAAAAACTTCAAACTTAAGGATAGTATGTATCACCATAGGAAGACGATCTGATTAGATTTTGGAGCACGTAGGTCAAAGGTCAAGGGTCACAGAGGTCAACTTATGAAATTCCATACATTGAGATTGTTATCATAATATCTCAAGAACCACTGGAGATTTAAACTTCAAACTTAATGATAGTGTGTATCACCATAGGAAGACAATCTGATTAGATTTTGGAGCACGTAGGTCAAAGGTCAAGGGTCACAGAGGTCAACTTATGAAATTCCATACATTGAGATCGTTATTGCGATATCTCAAGAACCACTGGAGAATTTTCACTTCAAACTTAATGATAGTATGTATCATCACCATATCATAATATCTCAAGAACCACTGGAGATTTAAACTTCAAACTTAATGATAGTGTGTATCACCATAGGAAGACAATCTGATTAGATTTTGGAGCACGTAGGTCAAAGGTCAAGGGTCACAGAGGTCAACTTATGAAATTCCATACATTGAGATTGTTATCATGATATCTCAAGAACCACTGGAGATTTAAACTCCAAACTTGTTTAAATTGCTCTATGGCGGAGGCATCATTTTCGACTGCGCGCAGTCAAAATTCCATCTAGTTATTCCTTATTTTGGATGTAGAGCACCAAGTAAGTAGTTCTAATTGTTAAATTGATAATTCAGTATTTATTTTTTCTTAATTTTCATATGTTGTTATTCCATATTTTGCATGTGCAGAGCTAAGCAAGAAGTTATCAGAAGAGGAGTCGGCTCGAACCAAACTTGCTTTTGATGTTCAGGGATTAAAGAATGCCTTATCAGGTAAGATTATAACAATCAATGAGGAGAGCCCTTATACAGAAATACATGTTTCTTTTGAGCAATGGCAGTGGTAGTGGTAGTGGTAGTAGTCGTCACAGTAGTAGTAATAGTAGTCGTCGTCACAGTTGTAGTAGTAGTAGAAGTAGTAGTAATAGTTGTTGCAGTAGTAGTAGTAGTAGTAGTCATTGTCACAGTAGTAGCATTAGAAGTAACAGTAGCAGTACTGTCTACATATATGTATGTATACTGTTGTTTGAAGTTATGTTTCTGGAAATTAATTTGAATTAAAGAAAACTAAGATAACAAATTATCCTGTTTTGACTCCCATACTCAAGAGTCCATATTCTACAAAATATTGTAACCTTATAAAGGGTTCAATCTCGGTAAACAATCCTTTGTAAAAGGAAAGTTTTTTTTTAAGGTCTAGTTTTCTCCATTATTGAGCATGATGTAGACCTGCCATTAGGTTTAAATCTATACGTAGAACAAGAGCCAAAGAGTTTACATGGGGGCAGACAATATCAAATAAACTGAAAACTCATGTTTTGTTCTTAATCTTTGCAGATTTTGAGAGGAAATGTCAAGCAAGTGAGGAGAGATGCAGTCAGTTGGTTGAGGATAAGAAGAAGCTGGTAAGATAGAGCACAATGTCAAATCATATATATTTCTAGAGGCCATCAAATTTGTCTGTACTTGTTTTTAGTCCGATAAATGATTTTCTAATGAGTAAAGTTTTTTAAAAGAGAAAAGAAAAACAAAAGAGATAGAGCACAGCAGTGAACCCATTTACACATGTATTTAAGTATAAGAGCCCTCCTATGTAAATTTGAAGGTAGAGCTGATTATGGAGTTAACAATCATTTTTCTTCCTTTTTTTTTCCATTAGGAGAATGACATTGCAGAATTGATGAAGAATTCAGGCAATAGTTCTGAGCAGCTAGTCTTGATGAATGAGCAGATCCGAACAAAAGATAGGTGAGTTCATTATCTGTTTGCATTAATCTACATTGGCTATAAAGAGGTAGATCCAGGATGGTCAGAAGTGAGGGGGGGGGGTCCTGATAAGATTTCTTAAACAGCTAAATAACACAATTTGATTATCCATGCATGCTATTGTCAATTGGTAAGAAATATTAGTTGATGAATCAAGAATGTTTTCATTTATTAAGTCAATGACTTCAAATGGACAGAAATTGCAATTGATATGAATCATTCATAGTTAAATTTACATCCAGTATCCATACATAATCGTTGCTCTCAAACGAACCAGTTACTGTTTCATTACAATGCATTTGTCTCCTCAACAGAAAACTCCAAACTATTTACACAGTAGATAAATCTCACTTCTCTGTATACTATACTGATTCACTTTAAGTATATAAATTATAGATTGGCTAATTGTCAGAAGTAGGCATTGAACACAAACACACAAATCGGAACTACCAAAACTATAAAATGGTGCTTTCTTTATATGACTCACCCCATGTTTACTGGATTTTATTTCATAAATTTGACTTTTTTTTTCTACTTGTCTTTTATATCTAATGTAGATAATGTATGTGTAACGTGAAGGGAAAAAAAATGCAATTTGAGTCGTATTCCACTTGCTGTTCCTCGAACATACACCAAAGCTGGCGACAATGCTTTCCAGGCATGTGCTCCTCAACTCTGGAATGAGCTTCCACGTTTTATTTGTTTATCACCCTCGCTGGATGTCTTCCGAAAATGTCTCAAAACTCTCCTCTTTGACCATGATCAACAACTTCTTTGATAATTTTTATGTAAAGCGCTGGGAAACAACAGTTAGTTTGTAAGAGCGCTATAGAAATAACTTTATTGTATTGTATTGTTTAGGAGAATAGAGGAGCTCCTAGCCAGTCTTTCCAGTGCCAACCAGAACGTATCTCGGCTCGACGCCCTCCTCGGCCAAACCAGACAAGAGGCTGACGAGGAGGCGAGGCGGCAGACGGAACAACACCAACAAGAGCTGCAGAAATACAGACAACAGATGAATAGTCTGGTAAGTTGGGGCGAAGCCCGCAGGTGGAGTGGTTTAAAGTGTACCAATCGCCTTAAAATGACCTGTGTACAGCCAGAATGTATGAAATCAATCTAAAGACAGTTTTTACCCGGATTTCTATGGGTCGAGGGATAGGGCGTGCTGCACAAGAAGCACTACTGCAAAATGTCCTCTAGCGCCATCTAGGGTCAGCTTTAGCAGTGTGACTTGCTGCTTCCCTAGCTGCACTGTTGGTTCTTGCATCAAATTCTCTGTCTGTGAAGTGGGAATTAGGCATTGGGTTACGCACTGTTGGCAAGTTGACCATGAGATGGCGCTGTCCAATATACGATATGCTAGGGCGAAAAGCTCATCAGTTCAGTATCGCTTAAATTCTTAACCTTTGGAATGTCTCATATATTTGGGAGCAAATTTTGCCTCCTAACTACTTAAACATTATTTTTGGGGTGATTGGTTTACTTTAAAGAGTATGGCAATTAAGTTTGCTTCTTGCTAGAGATATTATTGAATGCTTGCACACATATCAAAGCTATCGCAAATTATTAATATCATCTGACCTTCACTTGTGCTGTTCTTAATTGACTCATTTTGCTTCACAATGGTACGCAATAAGCTGGTGGAATACCAGCTTGTGGAATACCAGCTTTTATTGACCAACACGTCTTTATTATTCTCCTTCTCCTGCTGAAGCCAAATTTCAAGGAAGGATTGATGGCCTTTTAATTGAAGCTTGAAATGAAAATCTATCAGGCCATCATATCTTCCTTCACTTCTATTAAGGAGTTGATAGACAGAAGATATTCAATATCAATGTAGTCAAAGGCATGTGCCTCTTTATCACTCCACCACACAAAGGTCAGATGATGTTAATTAATTGTGATACACTCTTTACATCTTGGGTTATTATGAATAATATTGTAGGAATCATTGAGTGCAAAGGTGGGTTTCCTTGCAAATCTAATGCTTTCAAGGGAAGATGTGAAAATCTTGTGTTTTCTTATTTATTTGCAAAAAGTATTATCATTATCTATTTTTCTGCAAGATTTGAGTTATCAGCACTAGTAGATCATTTATTTCAGCTATTTGGTTTATTTAGGTTATTCTCCATGACAGAATTATTATTTCTCCATCGCATGGAATGTGAATACAGTATATATTTAAATCATGTTGTGATGTATTTGTTAGCTGTGAAATATTGTACTGTGGAAATACATGTAATTGTGCGTATCTCATAAAAGGAGCGCTTACCGGTAGTCGTCCTTTAGATTAAACTAATTTTACCGGTCCTGCATGTATCAAAAGATGCATCTCTGCATGCTTCAATGTGTAAAATGATGTACATGTATGTGTATGTTAATGTAACCTAATATCTGTATTCCTTATCGTGTCCCACCCGTCCTTGTGCATCATGTGTTTGTTGTCATTGTATGTTTGTACATTTCTGTGTACATGTACATGTTTTTTCATGTTTTTACGTCTTAATCTACTAGTCTCTGTGTTGTGTATTATCGTAAGGTACTCCCATTCATCCACATATAGCCACAGAATATTTGTTTTAACTTCTGTTTGGATATCGTCATGTTTTGTTCTTTCCATAGACATGCTAGTAACAAAAATATCCATAATTCGAAAGAGAACTTGTCCTAGAACTTAGTATGAACTGTTTCCAGAGAGCTGAAGAAAAACAATGTAATAGCAAAACAATACACCCCACTCTAACCCCCCCCCCCCCCTCCTCCAAAAAAAAAGAATAAAAAAAAAAAAAAAAAAAAAAAGCGTACAATAAAATCCAAACACGCTCAGATTATAGACCATAGACCGATATTCAGAAAAAGGGATTTAATTTATGAAGAACAAAGTTTACACTGAATTACGCAATATGTCCCATTGACAACATTTTCAGGATGTATTACTGGGACTGAAGATGAAAAGGGTCTGATATGTTAATACTGCTGTAATTTTGTCAATTTAATACAGACAAGTGCAGACAGAAGTTACAGCTTTATGCACTAAACTGAACAACATTATTTGCTGAAGGATTGGCTTTCAATATCTTCTCCCCTCCCCCCCCCCCCCCCCCCCACAAAACAAAATAAATAAATAAGGGAGTTATAACAACCTAGGAATGACTGGTTCATGAATTATACAAAATCCAATCTCTGTTAAATGAACTGCAACATCCAGTTGATTATATACCAATTTTTTGTTTAAAGGCACACTGTCCTACTTGTAGCTACTTGTTCCCTCTATATAGAAAACTTCCCCAATTGGTGCCTGTTGGTCCCCCATGATCCTCTTTTTCTTATGTTAAATGAGAGCTGAGTTAATGAGATAGCCACCTGTCACAGTGACCTTGCTGGCTCGCAGGGCGGTCTAATCCTTTCTTACTGAAGTAGTAAAGCCTACCTTTAAAGGGAAATAAGAATAACCTGCTAAAATTTAATTATCCAGACACTTCTCAAGTACAAGTTCACGTAGTTAATCCATAATTATTAATCATTGCATGTTTCCGGTACTGCATCATTACATGTGTATTTAAAATGCATTTCTACTAACATTTTAAAGCTGGAGTTCTGAGATGGAAAATAGAAATGGGCAATTTTGTGTTGCATTTTCAAACTATTTTCCTAAGTCATGTTGGTATTCTGTCATAAGTTGTAATTGGTGTAAAAATGTGTAGGCCTTAAAGGTAATTAAAGGCCCATCATGATCTGCCAATACTAACAACATCACTAATATCCATTATATAAATGTGAGGAAGACAAATATTGGTTTTAAGTTGAATTTGATCTTTCAAGTTGCTGTTGAAGGATCGAGATAAGGAAAAGAGGGGTCTACATGTAGGTTTTGAAAAATAAATAACACATACATGTAGCATCACTTGATAAACATAATATCAATTTTTGTAGTTGATTTTTAATGAAGAAAGACCAAAATGACATAACTATATCCTCAAAAAGGTAGGGGAATTTGTTATAAATGTATTCTAATTATATAACTATTTTCCTGGTTAAATTAGGATTACTTCACCTGTGCATGTACCATGTATAGATTGTTTGTTGTGGGGATATGTTCGTGAGTATCATGGATTGTTATAATTTCAGATCTTATGAATCAGACATTTAAAATACTTCCAATTTTTTTTTTTTTTTTTTTTTTTTTTTTTTTTTTTTTGGGGGGGGGGGGGGGGGGGGGGGAGGGGGCTTGTTTCTTTAAGTGGTAATAGATAGGAATGAGGTGGAGGGGGGGGGGGCTCCGTGATTCCATCACAGAATTCCTCTAACCTGCCCCTTGCTTATGCTATTGATTATGTTATCATTTAGTGGACGACATTTGCATCTTGAACAACTAATGCATCAACTAATTCTATATAACAGCGAACCTGATTTTGATTAAATGATAAACTAAATTATTCATTTTCTCCCTCATTTTCTACCTCTAAAAAAGATTAATCGTTCTAGAAAAATTATAGATCTTAGTTTTTCAGGAGGTAGAAGGATATCAGATCCTTTGAATTAATCATTATAACCATCAGGATGGTATTCATGAATGATTATAGTTCATAGAATCTTCAGCGTAAATTACTAATTGATAATAACACAAATTTAAGATTAAAAACCTAATGTCGAGAATACGGGAGTTTAGGCCACAATATTTATATCAAAGTAAGTTCCTAGTCCAGATTGTATAGGATTGATAATTGAAATAATAAACATGGATAAAGATATCTTTATGGTTTAAGGTGAGGTAAAGATAAGTTCAATACTGCATGTATATCACCTTTAGTAATTAATTTTCATTCTGGAATAGCTTTGAAGTTGCATAAAATAGATGAATACATGAAAACATCCCATAGTGCTTGTGTCATATATTCACCAATGACTATAATGTAGCTTAGCTTACCATGGGGCAAAAATGCTTTCTTTTTCATTTCCTTCAATAATTCAATGATATTCCTCTCAATTAAATCAGTTTTGTTGTAAACGTAAGGTAAAACAGAGTGATCCATCATCAAACAATTTGTCTTTATTCTTTTCTTTTCCATAGGTGAAATAACCCCCACTCCCATCTTAGTAGTGCACATTCCTTTAGCTTTTTAAATTTTCTTTTTGATTAAGTTTCATTATTTGGACATTTAGCTTCATTTCCTCCATAGTAGTGTCACACATTGCAGGTTTTACATGTTGTTTTGTTTATTGAGTTATTTGCAGCTGAAAATTTTCCCACCATCACGTTCGAGCACCCGTTTCCTCTTCTGTTTTTGTTTATGTGTGTTTTTGTGTGTTTTGTCTAACAATCATTTGTTTTATCGATGTATGTACTTCATTCATTCATTTGTGTCATGTTTTCATCACATATCACCTTGTGCCTTCATAATATCACTGCCCATCATCGTGTATTCACAAATGCTGTCATTCATTTTAACCCTGTACTGTCGTCATCCAACTAACCCTTATGTGTAGTATTTGCCAAAGTTCCAAAGTTTTTTCAATGGAAGAAAAAAAAAGCAAAATGCTCCATTTCTTTTATTTTCTTGATTTAATTTTGATTTGTCCAAGATTGATTCTGTTTAAGTTTTTCCTGCTTCATGTGCCCTTGTTGTATCCAAACCTATCTTCCCCCTTTCGCCTATCCTGTGACCCCCACCCAACCCCACCCCCACCTTAACCCCCAAATGACTCCACCCTTACAACACACCCCCCACCCCAGCAAGCCGAGCTTGAAACGAGTCGGTCCGAGACGAGTAGCATCCGCGATGAAATGCAGAAGGAGATCGATACAACGAAGGAAAGACTGGAGTCTGAGCTTGAGACTATCAGGAAAGAGAAGGTTGACCTTGAGAGTGAGAAGGTCAAGCTTGATGCTTCTGCCCAGGAGCTTGAAGGTCGTCTGAAGGAGACTGAAGAGAAATTGCAAGCTTATGAGGCAAGTAGACTACTGGTAGTTGAATTAATACAGATTAACATGTACTAGATATTAGTCTAAACAGCAATAGAAAAATGTCAAATGGTCAAAATGTAACTTCGACGAAAGGAGGGATTTGCTTACCGGCACCTTGAAATTTTGTTTCCCAAAGATGAAGAGTTTCAGTCAAATGATATGTTAGGCTAGTGATGAGTATAAACTAAAGATAATCATTGATTCAGTCTATCATCTAATTCTTCAAAATTAGTAACTTTCTTGCTCTCAGAGTGTAGGGAGATAGTGCTGTAGTCTGTTTTTTGAAATACCTTTCAAACAGATGAGCTTTCTTTTTCTCTAAGTATACATGGTGAAGAAGGTATGATATGATTCAGAAACTTATCGGAAGACGGAATATTGTTGGATTTCACACAACACATCCTTGTGTTTCTGTCCTCCCTGATGTAGGAGGGTAAAGCCAGCCTCGAAGACAACCTCAAGAAGACGACGGGGGAGAGAGATCGTCTACGAGAGGAGCGGGACCAGGCCCTGGCAGACAAACAGCAGCTCATCTCAGACAAGGCCGAGCTTGGTCTAAGACAAGACGAGGCTGACCTTAAGCAGAGACAGGTCCAGGACCAGCTGGACAGAGAGTCTCAGGCCAAGATCGAAGTAAGTCTAGCTTGAAGGGAATTAATGGACAGAGAACTACCAGGAGACACATGTACATGTAGATAGGCTCCTTTGTCTTTTACTGAAATCTCTCTTTTTTCATTCTTTCTTCATGCAATGATATTGCCCCACGTGGCCCCTAATTGCATTTAGAACATTTAGCTTTTTATCTTCTATTTTATTTTCATTGATCTTTAAAAGACCTGATGGAACCATCACTAAGATGGAAATCGATTTTACTGACATAACAAAGGTGTTCTCTTTTTGTCAGTCCTTCCTCTAACAAATTTGTCCAGATCAAACCTCTTGATGTTGTCAAACTGTTGTCTCACATCCCTCTGTATAACATTACTTTCCTAGTTCCCTTCGTTCTTGTTTCTGTGAACTATTGTGGTTTTTAACTTTGACGTACCGGTAGTTTATTATAGTATCCACAGTATACATGTACTTATTCTCCTTCCCACGTACATGTTTTTGAAACGAAGATTGCAAGGAAATATTTGTTTCCAAACCATGTATATTCCACTGTTAAATTCTACCCAAATACATTCTATTTCCTATCTTTCAAAGTTTTTCTCTTCTGCATGTACATCATGCTTTGATTACACGTATACTGGTACATGTGAATCCCAATTCTTCCTCCTTGTTGTATGTGTTCTTTTCTGAATGTTGTCATGTAAAGTCTGATTCAGATATGATGCAGCAAAACCACAGCAATTTTTTTTTTCTTCTTGATGACATAAATCGTTATAAGCTCCACACTTTCAGTTTCTTACAACACAGCGCTAAGTGAACGATCTTTGTTGTGCGCAGTTGCCAGTTTTTGCCATTCATTTACACCTTTTTTTTTAAACGTGGTGGTTTACAGCGTCATATCTGAACGAGGCGTATATGTTGAAAATGACTTTGACTAACATATCCTGATTTGTATATTTATTCTCATACTGTTACTTCTCATATTATCAAGTCTCACGTATTACTTCTCTTTTTAATCCTTTTTCCCCTCAATTTCTCTTTAATACAGGTTCCATTTCTCCCCATCTCCACCACCCCTACCCTTGTTTTCAAATTGATGGTCTAACGAGATATACTCGTCTCCTCTCCTTTTACAATGAGTCGTATGAATTTTTGTCCAATTTGTCAAACATTTATTCTCTTATGGGTAGAATATGATTTTTTTTTGTCATCCATTTGTAGCAATATCACATGCATGCTCATTAATATATGGAATAATGCTTTTATTGAATGACATTCATTTGCAATAAATATATTTGCTTTTATTATTTTGGTCAAGATTAATCAAAAGGGCTATTTGAACCTTTTTGAGTTGGGTTTATCAAACGTAGGTTGAGCACTAACGGGAAAAGGGCAATCATCAATTACATGCACATTGTATAAATATAAGATGCCGATGAGTGCATTAACCTTTCATCTTTCACTTCTCATCTAGCTGTTGATCAATGATCGATCATTAGCTTGATACATAACCCAACGATCTTCTTATTTCTTTAGAACACAAAGGTGTATGTTGCAAAGGTACAGTAATACCATGATATCATGGGCTCTTTCATGATATGTGAACCAGAAACTTCTGTTTCGATGGACACACACACATACATTGACATGTATGTGCAAAGTCTATAGAGTAGGAAAGAGGTCACAACTGTGTGTGATGCAATGTGCACTGTATGAGTGAATAGTTTTCTATTTCATGATAATGCAATATTATGGATTGTCAGTGATTTAATCATGTCTAATAAAGTCTTTTTTTCATCAAATAAGTAAATAGAAATTGTTTACCTTGCTTGGAACAAAAAAGGGTGCTTCATCTGTGAGCCATCTATAGACATGGTTCCCGTTGCACAAAACTAACCATCGATTGTAACTTTGCCATCAATGGTAACTATCATGGAAACCTTGATTTTGATTGGCTGTTGAGTCCTGTTACCATGGTAGTTGCCATTGATGGCAAAGGTACCATCAATGGTAAGTTTTATGCAATGGGGCCATGGTACCTTTTGATTTCCAAGCTTGCAATTAGAATTTTCATGTCTTGATTACTTATTGTGTGGTATTGTTGATATGTAGGCCATTAAGACAGCGGAGGAAACCAAAGCCAACGTCGAGAGGGTGACCTCAGAGCGAGACAGCGCTCTCAGGGACAGGACGGAAGCCTTAGCCCAGGCCCAGGAGCGAGAGATGAAGCTAGAGACCAAGTCCCAGGAGGCCGAGACCCTCCGCAAGGAGCGCTCCGAGGCCCAGACTCAGGTGCAGGAGCAGCTCACCAAGCTGGAGACCCTGGGGAAGGAGCTGGAAGGGCTCCAGAAGGAGAGGACTGAGACAGGAAGCCGGGTCCATTCGCTGGAGGGAGACCTGGACCAGCTCCGCAGGGAGCGGACGGAGCTGGTTGCTCAGGCCCAGGAGTGCACCATCAAGGTGGAGACCAGGGAGAAGGACCTGGAGGGCTTGAAGAAGGAGCTGGAGAGACAGAGAGAAAAGGAGGAGCTGTTGGCTAAATCATCGAAGGAAGGAGAACAGACTATGACTCAACTGCAAACACAATTGTGAGTTGGAACCAGAGAGGAGTGTGGGCTCATTTCAAAGCTATTCAATGTCATTGTGCTTTTAATGAATGTCCCTTCTTTCCTCCATTTGTGTAAATGTAAATTTGATTTTGTGTTCATTTGATAATAAAAAAAGTAATCTTTATTTTTTAATCTGAATCTGAATCTTGAAGGCTGTAGATTGTCGGGTCATAGTCAGAAGGGTGTTAACTCATGAACATGAGTTCATCAACACAACAATATCCTTCTAGTTCTCAACAGTTATGGATAATCTAGAGTATACAAATTTATTCCATAGGCAGATGGAGCACATTGGTATGATCTGACAAGTTTTGGAAGTGGCAGCAATGCCTCTTGTATTATATGTTCGCGCAAAAATTATCGTGAGTCAACAATTAAAATTTTAAGACAGTTTCATACTACTGTAAGTCTGGAAATTCATCTTTGCATTTTCCAATTTTCAGAATCGAGAGGGGTCAGGATCTTGAATCCTCCAGGAGTTTAGTATCCGAGCTAGAAAACAAGTCTTCCATGTTACAAGCACAGCTTGAAGAACTCAAGAAAGAGTCTGATCAGAAACTACAGCAGGTGAGTGTTAAGACCTTGATTGGTCAATTTGACCTTTTATATCACCACCCACAAACACACGAACACACACAAGCACAGGATTGGTAATTTTTCTTTTATTGCTACCAATATTACCAATTTTTACAGAAAAAACAATGGCTTTGCATCTCTGAAAACGTTGATGATTTTAAGGTTTCTGTATCCTGGCATGAGATGCACTATTATTAATTACCAAAAGTGGAAATAGTGTGTGCAGAAATATGTTTTAGGTCTGATTCTAAGTCATAATTTATTGAACTAAACCAAAAAAAAGGGCAATTGTGTGAAAGATCATTTAAAGGAAACTTTTAAAAAAAAGGGAAACTTTTAAAAAATTGTGAGGAAACTTGAAAGGAAACTCGGTGACTTATCAAAAGAAGCTTTGTGACTTATTGAAGGAAACCCATAAGGAAACTTAAAAGGAAACTCAGTGACTCATTTTGTTCATGAAAACAATTTGTTTTTTCTTGTTGAAGTCTGTGATGCACCTGCGTTATACCACATGTTGAAGTGATCCTTCACATGATCATGTCATATCGTACATGTTCTTACATGCTTATAATATAAACGTTACCGTTAGTTGGCATGCATGTATCCTTGAATAATTGTTTAACTTTTGTTGTTATCGTTGTAAACTTTCCAATGAATATCTTTGTTTCTAGGTTGAACAAAGTTTATCCGAAGTCAGGGCTTCTATGGAAACCGTATCCAAGGAGAAGGAAGCATTATCAGGAGACCAGTCGTCACTTGGGACTCAGCTCCAAGAACGCAACCAGGAATGCTGCAGATTAAACGAAGAAATCAAGACTCTTAACGAGAAGATGGACACTTACCAAAATCAATTTATAACTATTGAATCTTCCATGTCGCATGAGAAATCCTTGTTAGAGGATGAAAGGACTAAACTGAGTGATCAGGTTAACGAGAAGGAAGCGGAAAGCGCCCGGCTCCAGGGGGAAGTCTCCAGCCTGAAGGAGCAGGTGTCCAGCTACGAGGCCAAGCTTGGGGTCCTGGACTCACTGAGCAAGGAGAAAGCCGAGGCGGAGGAGGAGAGGGTGAAGTTGGAGGGTCGGGTCCAGGAGAAGGAGCAGGATACGGAGCAGCTCCAGGAGGAGATCAGGAGCTTGAAGCAGCAGGTGGAGAGCTATGAGACTCAGCTCAGTCTAGCCAAGAAATCATCCTCAGAGGGAGAAAACAATGTGGGAGCACTACAAGCTCAACTGTGAGTAAAAGGATAGTCTGGGTGTGTGTATCAGGTTTTTACAGATGTGTATCGATCAGATATGATTATTTACGTCTGGGGACCGACCTTTAAACGTCACCATCCGAAAGACGTGACTCGGTTTTGGACCTGCGTCCTCGGCTGAATCAGTTTGTAACTTCCATTGTTAGCTGGATTACAGGTGCATGCCACAATACCAAGTTGTGGGGGATCACCAGACCATTTAATGGGGGAGGGGATGTTGGACTGATTTCCTACAAATGAACTGACAAACTACCGACAAGCAGATCGAAGAAAGAAAAAAAATAGAGAAGAATGAAAGTAGCTCAGATTTTCAAATTTGCCCACAACCTATAAAATGGTTGTCAAGATTGTCAAACTTTCCAATAGAGATACCATCCTCCCCCTCCCCCCCTGAACTTTTTGTCTAGTGTTACGACTCTTTTTTTTTTAAATTCTGTAACTGATGAAGTCATTGTGTAATGGCTGATTAGTCTTCATATGAATTTCTCACAAATGAAATCATTTCCAATTTACACTCCAGAAATGAAGAGCTGTTTACATGTATGTTAACTAGTAATATCAGACTAACAAAAATTGACATACTCTGTTACTTTCGACAGATACCTGTCCAACTGTATGCAATTTTATAATTGTTTCTATAAGTATATTTTAGATTATAATTAAAAACTTTTGAATTTAATGACAGGGCTGAAGCAAGGCATTGCCTCACGATGGAGCAAGAGAAAGTGAACAAGTTAGAGACTGATATGAGCAACACACAGCAGGATATAAATGCATTACAGATGGCTGGCAAAGAGAAGGAAATGGTATGTTTTAGGGCATTGCCTTCTTAATTCTTATTTTACATTCTTATTTCTTTTATTTGATTAGCTTTTGTTTATTACAAGTTGTGGATAGCCAGGTGATAAATCCCTCATGCATGTATAATCGGACCTTCTTTTTTTTGTCATTATGTTTATGAACAGTTTTCATGAATGAAATTTCAAGAGTAAATTTAGGGTTTGAAATGTTTGTTTCATTATGTTATTGGCTGCAGGTTTGTGCCACAAAAATTCATAACTCATAATGTTTATAGCCGTTTTTAGGAAGAAGGAAAAAGCTCTTTTGGGGCTAAAATAAACAACTAGTAGGACAACATGTACTTTGGCAACTATATTGATATGTACAAGATTTATCCCTTTTGGAGTTCTTGGCCCTGTTTCATGAAAGTTGTTATCAATGACAAGCTACAATAACTGTTATAAGTTACCAAAATTGTTGCATTTGATCGGCTTAGATCAAATTTGTCCATGAGTTTTTCTAATATTCAGAATGAATGTAAAATGAGTGCAAACTGAATGTAAAATGAATGTAAAATGAATGTAGAATGAATGTAAAATGAATGTAAAATGAATGTAAAATGAATGTAAATTGAATTTTAAATCAATGTAAAATCAATGTAAAATCAATGTAAAATTTCCCATTCTTTGTTTGATGAACAGTTGGAGCAGAAGAATTCAAGCCTCTCAAGTGAACTCCAGGTGCTGCAGTCTGAGTAAGTGTAGTGCTTATTTACATTTCACTTTGATTTAAACAAAGTCATGTAGATTCAAATCAGGTTAGGATGTCCCACAGAGTCCAATGTAATATCAACCAGAGACTGACTGTTTCATACAAAGTCATCATATTGTAAAGCAGTAGTTTTTAAACTTTTGGACCCCAAACCAATCTAGGAATCCTTGTCATTGCCATTATCCCCCTCCCCCCCCCCCCCCCTCCTGCAAGTGTATTTAGAATTTATCTGCTCATTACCCCTTTAAAAGAACAAATTTTAAGCCTCCCTTCCCCCATATGGAGATGATATCCCAATGTTAAAACCCTTTGTTTTATAGTTTTGTTCAGTAGATTTCACATGTATATTTCACCTGAAATTCCTATGATTTCTAATACTGAATAAATATATCATTTTACAGTTATAAACATTATCAGTTATACTTGTACGAGTTAAAAATGACTAAACCTTTGTACATTACAGGTTGAGATGCCATGTTACAGAGTACCGATCGATGAATGTGTTGTTACAGTGGTAATGAGTTTGATCTCTTCTCTCTTCAGGTTTGAATCAAGGATAGTAGATTTTGAGTATGAGAAGGAATCGCTCCAGAGCGCTTTGGGTATGACAAACACAATGGTGGCACAGAACAAGAATGAACTGGACAGATGTAAACAGGAGGTAAGAGTTGTTTGAAAAAAAGTCATTCCTTTTTAATTTTGTTTTTGTATTTTTTGTTTAAAAAAATAAAACAAGAAAAAAATATTTGATGTTAATGGGAATGCGGAATAAAAGTTTGGGTTAGATTACATTGTGAAAGCTACATCTCTACTCTACAGTATTTGAACTTTCCCAACCCATCCCCCAACCCCATCTCACTCTCTCTCTCTCTCTCTCTCTCTCTCTCTCTCTTTAACCTTGCTTCCTCCTCTCCCCTTTTCTTTCTTTGGTTTGCCTCTCCCTTTTCCTCTCTCTCCTGTTCCCCTTGGTGAACTCTTTCCTTTAATCTTTCTTTATTTTTTATCCGTTTTTCTTCCTCTCTGTCTTCCCCCCTCTCTCTCTCTCTCTTTATTCCTAATTTTCTCTTTTCCCCCTAACTTTCTCCTTTCTGCTTTCTCTCTTTCTTCCTCTCTTTTTCTCTCTACCCCCTCTCTCTCTCTCTCTCTCTCTCTCTCTTTCTCTCTCTCTCTCTCTCTCTCTTTCTCTCTCTTTCTCCCTCTCGTCTCCTTTCTTACGATTTAATGGATGTTTATGTTTTTTTCTTTCTTTCTTCTTTTTTCTTCACCAGATTGCCCAATACCAGGGTGAGAGTGCCTTGGCCAGCAGCTACAAATCCACCATCGGTGAGCTAGAGAAAGATAAGAACAGTCTTCAGCAGCAGGTCAGTGATCTTCAGACAGCCTTGGTCTCATCTCAAAGCTCACCGTCCTCACAGATAGATGTAGATATGGATGGTGAGTACTGCAATGAAAAAATATAATAATAATATTCTGATCTTGTATAGCGCATATCATGTTATTATGCACAGTCTATGGAATTGAATTGAATTGAATTGATTTATTATCCACTAAAAAATGGAAATTTGTTGCTCACTGGTATTACAAACAAAGTACACAATTATAACAATTATAAAACATAATAACAACATAACAACAACTATGCGCTTTCTAAGGACATTGGATGTTATTACCTCGACTTTAGCTCCGGCAACTGTAGCACTCCGTACATTCAAGGAATAGATAAATAAATAAATACTTTTCTTATATTGAATATCTCTCTCTCTCTCTCTCTCCCCCTCTCCCTCTTTCTCTCTCTCTCTCTCTCTCTCTTCTTCCATCTGACTAGTGATTCCACCCCCTCACTCTTTCCTTTTTGCTTTGTCTCTTTCTTTCTCGGTATGCATATTTCAGTTGCAGAAGAAAAATTGTATTCATCTAGTTCATCTTTTATTTATTGGCATCTATGCTTCATACCATTTGCGGTAAACAAAAGTTGTTTGTTGTATATTTTGTAGGAGATCCAGCTATAGCTAAGATTCAAGAAGACAAGGAGATGGCAGAGGGACAGGTAAGTACTTCTTCATTGACGTACTTGACTTATTGGCCCAGGGGGGTGTTTCACAAAGACTAAGATAGACTTTAAGTTGGACTTAACTATGGCAGGCTCTTTGCCCTCACCATTTACCGGTATTGGTCTCTCAAGAGACGTACTAATCTACAGAATTTACACATTTTTGATAATTCATTAATGAAGGAAAAAATATTATCTAAAGATCATAATTGAGAGACCAATGGAGGAAGCAACCAGTGGCCTGAATGGCTTGCCATAGTTAAGTCCAACTTAAAGTCGATCTTAGTCTTTGTGAAACACCCCCTGGACGGGGTGTCCCTTCGCTCCTTTATGAGTACCCCGCCTCCATTTGTTCTGTGTTGCGCCAGGCTTTCGGCATCCTCTGGCGATGATCCTGTGTTAATACAGATTTGGTCCTGCCATCCCAGAGAGAATCTTTGAGCTGTGAAGTTGTTAAGAAGGGCTTGGAGTGTTTTTGAGAGCCTTAACGAGTGTCTTATGTCCACATTCCTGAGTCTGTACATGACTCCTGCAATATTCCTTATACTTCTAGCTTGTTCTTGTCTCTTTTCTGAAGAGTCCAAGCTTCTCTGTTATCTAACTGAGAGCTTCTCCATTATCTGATGCTTGTTTTTTTTTAAGGGAAGAATAAGGTTTTTTTTGTCCAAATTGGTAATACTCCTTTAATTGCTACACTCTTCTAATAAAAAATACACAAAAAATCATGTTGAAATATTAAAAAAAGAAAGATTACAGAGTTAGAGCCCTTTTCTGGACTCCTCAATCCTCCCTCTCTCTCTCTCTCTCTCACATGGTGCACCTGCAAGCCTACTGTATATCTACATCACCATGCAAGCTAACACTTACAAGCAGCATAAAAATATTAGGTTGTAAAAGAACAATCATTTTGAACGTTTCAATCTTTCACAAATTGAAATAACTTGTGCTTTTATTTTGTGATTTTTAGCATTATATCAAAAGGTTGCAGTGGAAAAACTTACAACTAGAACAATAATTCCATGTTAATAATGGATCGATGAAGTATATGTACCTGTTTGTCTTTAATAATTACAGGCCTTATGGTATTAGAAGAAAGAGAACATTTTCTAGACGTCCTTTTAAAACAAATTTGATGTGTACGCAATCTCTCCGTTCTAATTTGTTTAACAGGTAACATTCCTAAACTCTGTGATCGTCGACCTCCAACGCAAGAACGACGAGCTCCGCGCCAGACTTGAAGCTATGGAGACCAGCTACATGAATGGAGACCACGATGATATTGGATTTGATGTCGAGTGAGTAATACTGTACAACAAAATAATTATGCTTTGCTGGCTAGAAAATGCTATTTCAATGAATACTTTTGTATCGGGACATGGTACAATAGTTCAATAGTTTGTATTTAAAAAAATGTTTTCTTACATCTACTTTCAATGTTTTCTTACATTTACTGAAAATGAATGTTAAGACTTGTGGCATATCGGCCATGAAACAACTGTTGCTAATATCACTTTTGATTTGTATGGTACACCCACCGATGTGTGAATCACAAATAATGTTATAAGATGATCCAGTCAAACCTGCTTTATTGACCACCTGTCTACAAAGGCCACATTTGTTGTTTCCCTTGAAAACGATTTCTCATTGAAACATGTACTAAAGGAACCTGTCTACAAAGACCACCTTCCTATAAAGATCACTTTTCTTCTCCCTTGGGTGGTCTTTATAGACAGGTTTTACTGTACTTAAGTTTTCTTCGTTTTCTTTTCAAAGAGAGAATATGGACAGTCATCTTCACCTGACTGAAGATTTTCTTGAGCAGTGCATCTTTCTGATTTGCTTGCGTGTGATGAAATGTGTGGTGTGGGATAGAAATACGTTTGCATGGAAATTTGATTGGGGAATTTATTTCTAATAATAGCTTTAAGCCATTTAGAGTGGGTTTTTTTTTTTACTAAAACATATTAAATGACCAGGGGGTGTTTCACAAGATCCTACGTCAAACTTATTTGTTTCCTTAAAACAAAATATATTCAACAGCAAAAAATCAAGTATTTTTGACTTTTCATAAATTCAAAATCAAGAACATGAAATCCCACATCAAGAACATGAAATCTTCTTGATAATAGAAAATATGAATGATTTGAATCAACATTTTATGCCTTTGAAATAATTTATACCAAATATTTTCAAAGACTTTCCATCTTTGTGAAACACCCCCTGACTTAGAAAAAGATTACAGTTAAGTTTTTTTCTTTCTATAAATTCCTTTCTTCTCTTCTCCTGGGATGTGTGGATATGTATCAGCTCTCTAGATATTGGCACAATTTTATCTTCCATGGTTTTCCGATCAGGCAAAATTATAGAAATACCCTTGTAAGGCCAAATAGCAAAGATGAAGTGTTTCTCGTCCCTGCCGGCCTCTTTTTAAGTTTTTTTTTTTTTTTACTATTTACTATTCAGAAGAAGAAAAAAAAAGCCTGTGATATACATTTTGTTTAAATAGCTTCTAAAGTGATACAAATAAAAAAAAATTGTTATACACTGCATCAGTATACTCACATAGCACAATATCTGTTAATAGATAGGATTGGCCAGCTATAATTAGCGTGCAGCCATCTTTGAAAAAAATAGCAAAAAATAGCAAAATAGTAATGCCCTGCCTCCTTTTTTTTTGTATAGTCCGGACGAGAAACACATTATTTTTGTTATTTGGCCTAAAAATAGAAGAAAGAACTGGAAGGGAATTCTTTGGTCCTACACCTTGGCTTTTCATGCGGGAATGGTTTTAGAGTGCCAACACAAGCAAGCATCACTGTGTGAAATGCATGCCTTCAACTTAACCCCACCTCTCTCTCTCCATCCCTGCCTCCATCTAGTATGGACTCCAGCACACACGGCCCGCCTCCACGTCTCTTCTGTGATATCTGCGATGTCTTTGACCTGCACGAGACCGAAGACTGCCCTCTCCAGGCCAGCTCTGACAGTCCGCCGGCCACCCAGTATCACGGCACGCGCACTGAAGTGAGGCCGTACTGCGATATCTGCGAAGGTAAGCACAGTGCATGAAATGAAATGAATTGAAATGCTCTTTGGCTTGGGTGTGAATGAGGGACGTATGATGCATGGTGGAGAGAGCTAGGATGGTTTACTCAGAAAATATACAACTTCAAATCTCATCTCTTCAATATCTGGTTAATTCAAGGTAATAAATCATTCGAAAAAACAGATTAATGATTTCAGATATAGTAGTCTAATGTTTTTGTATCAAACTATTGCCACAATACCACAAATACATTCTTATAATAATGAGTCTAATTGGGTATCATTTGTGTAGGTTATACCACATTTAGATTATTATCTTTTACCATTTTGAAAATAAAATCAGAGATTGGCTAAGCCTAAGGCAAGTGGGAAAAAAAATCCCTTAAGAAAGGATCGTGAAATAAAAGATTTACCAGATTGACACAGGTGGTTTCATTAAATTAGTGTTTTTATTTATTCTTAACAGGGAATTTGTTTAGATAATATAAAAACAAATCAACCCAGTTGATTCTGATAGATTTGAACTCTCCTAGTTCTCATCTCCACGTGTTCCTGACCTTTGTTTCTTAGTTTTGAGGAATCTTAAAAATTAGACCAAAATTCCTTTTGCATCATTGTCTTGGTTTAATAGGAATGTCTGCAAATGCATGCTAGCATTTAAATGTGTGGCTTCTCTGTATTGCCTTGTGTTACCTCGAAAATGTATAGAATTTTCACAGCCTTATACATATATGTATTGCCCTGTCAAAAGCAGGAAGACTTTTAATAAATCTGTAGCGACAAAAGAGATTCTGGCAAATCGAGGTTATTTGGAAAAAATTCTTGAAATAGCTTTACAGGTTGTCAAAAGAACCATATACCACTTACAATCACAACGTTTTGGCAATTCCAAAGAAAATGTTCACTAACCGAAAATCATAAAATTGGCAACAGTTCCAAAAATATTTGTGAAATGTGTTTCAGGGCTCTTTAATTTGTTTTAAAATGTCTTGAATAGCCAAAGACATTGTGAATGTCATACCGTATATGTTATGCTGGAATTCCCCATATCATAATACAGTTGTGACCTTGTCGCCCATTGCTTTAAATAGCACAGGTAAAAAGGTCGTGCAAAAAACATATTAAAAACAAGTTATGCTACTCCCTGGAGGTACATGTATGTGTAGTTATCTCTTGAGAATACCTTATTACCCAAGACCCTGTTCAAATTAATACTTTAGCTTCATGGATTGTTGAATGATTTGTAACAGAATCAGGAAAGCATGACAGCTATTGATGAATTGATAATCATGTTCGTCTGATATCTGGTTCATTCAGACTTGTGTAGATATTTTTGTATTTCCCGCCAAGGATGAGCAAGAACATAACCTGTCATAATTGTTGTTGTAATCACATGAGAATCTTTCATTCATTTGATTCGATCCAGTGATCAAAGCTATTTGACCAATCACTGTTCATCAGAGAGATGAATATTTGCTTCTAAATAGATGTTTCCTTCACAAGTAAGAAGTAAGAATAAAAATATATGAAGATAGATAGTTTACTTTCCTAATCTAATGAACTTTATGTCTCATATTTGAACAAACAGAGAGACCATATATTTCCAATCTCTCCTGTTAGTGCATGAGTACACTGATAAAAAAAAAAACACCAACATGTATATTGTTAGTCTACTACAGCCTATTAAACTTGAGTAGAAATATATGCACCAGTTGTATTGGCGATGAAATCTGTGTGGTCTCCTCAGATTTTCATTACCTGGTGAAACTTCACATTTGTGAGACATGCCCTCTGCTAATTCATGCTCTTCATGAATATATAGTTGACATTATTAAACTGACAAGCAAGCCGTTATGACCATCAAAACTCCCTTATTACATCAAGATCGGGATGATTTTGTTTTGATTTGTTGAGAATAATTCATATGAATCTCTCTCTTCGCCCCCGCCCTCTCTCTCCCTGCCTCTCTCTCTCTCTCTCTCTCTCTCTCTCTCTCTCTTTCCCTCCCTCTCTCTCTCTTTCTCTCTTTCATTGTCTGTATCATGCTTATCAACTCCCTCCTTCACTCTCTCCTCCTTTCTTCCCCTCTTTTAAACATCTCTTACCAATATTCTCCAGTTTTCGGCCATTGGACAGAGAACTGCGATGATGAGCAGACATACTAGCGTCTCGGCAATTCGTGAGGATGGAAGTCCTCATCCAAAACCTCAATCAGTACTTTCCATATCCTGTCCCTTGGACCGATTCAACATGAACAGTGTCCCACATTCTAGTGCTGGAGATGATGGTATGGCAGACATCCTCAAGCAACGGATTATGGTCTTAAAACGCTTCTCTGATCATGTGACATCGCTGGATAGAGGTTGCTTTACATCGTATGAAGGGTGGGAGTTCTTGTATATGCACTTGAAGGTGGTATTTATGTACAGGTTCCTAAATACAGGTGTTTACGAAAGCTTTTGTGGAAGGGAAATAAAAGATGTGATCTCCATTGACAGGGGGTCTTCCTATACAGGTAATCGCTAAATCAGATTTGCCTGTATACAGATTCATTGATCCTTACTATTTGATGGAGATGAACGTAGGATGGGAAATTGGTGTATTGAAAATCAGCAATGTGCGGTCATTAATAAGGTGTACCAGAAGAAGTAAGACTTTCTGGAGAAGAATGTGTCCATGAGCCAGGACTGACATTCAAGTCTAGGTCCTGGAATGAATTATGATTGGTCTGGTTGATCAGGGTCTGTTCTAATCAGTCGTAGAACATTCAAGCCTCACTCAGATATGGCGTGGTAAAACCTGCAGCGCTTAACAAAAAATTGATGACGTCACATTTCTGTATCTCGTAACACACAAGCTCAATGAATACGTGGAGGACTTTTGTTGCGCGCAGTCGCCCTTCATGTACATGTAAGAAAAAAAATTGGCGTTTTGTGGCAGCGGTTTACAGCGTTATACAGTGTTATATCTGAACGAGGCTTTGCTAGGTCCTGATTTCTACACCCCTGCGCTGGCGGCTAGACAAGCACAACATAAGTAACGTCTTACATACCCGAGTTGTTTCTCAGATGATGGTATACGTTTGGGTAAGTTTTATTTGATCAGATTGTAATATTTCAATACCCTGTATGCTCCTACAAGAAAATACAACATATAGCCCCGAGGGGACTCGGAGGGAGAGCATGTAGGCATCAAGAAGTGTGTCAAATGGAGGGTTGATTGACTCAAGACTCAAGAAACGGAACAGGGTTGAAGTGACTTCAAGTTGTATGTGCAGCACTCACTGTGCTCTTTGTGTGTTGGAGGTCATAGGTCGATGTACCGAAGGAGGAGTTGATTTCAATATCCATAACATTTCTTATACATTATAAAATGTGACTAGAAAGCTTACTGAGTGTTACGATGCTACTGACACTGTACAAAAAACCTCCTTCAGCCTTTCGTGTACAATGCAAATTTAGGAAACAGAAATGCAGAGAAATATTGAGACGATGTTCATTCTTTTTGTTGTTGCTTACCGTCCTAACAGTATATATATCTATAGATGGCATGATACTGTACGTTCGACTCTAACCAGTATTAGACGCTGCTGTTTTATGGCGTTGCGTGGCATTGTGAAATGTCTCACAATTTTTATGCACCTTTCTTGCAATAAATATCTCCAAATAGTCTTACTCTTCTATGATAGCTTTTTTTCAGTGTGTAATGTAAGACCTTGATCAAATCACTGTTTGTAGGCTAGAGATTTAGAATGCACCACTGCATGAACAGTTCTAGCGATGGTAAATTTTGCCATCAAAGTTATATCTCTTGAACCAGTCAAGCAATATCTTACGGATTCCAAATCAAAACCTGCTTGTTGATTGTGATTGGTAGGGAGGATTAACTGTCTACTAAGTTTGATTTTCAAAAATTACAATCAAGTGTTAACGCTTTATGAGAGAGGCCACTTCCATATTAAAATATGTGATTGAAAGTAACTCAAGAAGTTAAGGTATTCTATGATTCTGTCTGGTTGAAATTCGATTTGAGTTAGAATTTGAGAGTTTTTGCATTTCATCTCATCTTTTATGCCAGAGGCTCAATGACTTTAAAGAATTAATCCTTTTTTCTATGCATACATGTGATCGGTCAAAGATCACATCAAATTTGTTTTCCTTTGAAGCCTGGCTGTCATTCAAATTCCATGAACACTTTATTAAAAGAAATAGTATGTCAGTACTCGAGCTTTGTAGCATTGTCTTATCCAGTACTTCTCAGATACCCCCTTGTTGAAAGTCAGTAGACTCTCCGAATGAATTTGGCCTTGCTGCCTTGTGAATGTGTATTGTTCCGCTAGAGATCATATGAGTGTATTTATTTGAGATTGTATCAGAAGATCATTGAGCTTCAGGAGCTTGGAGCCTGCTGATAGTCTGAATGTGCTTCTCCTCATCTTGTTTTGTTAATTTCAGGAAGTGTGTACACTGTAGATCATGTGATCCTTCATGTGACTGATGTGATCCACCATGTGATTGATCATATGACTGATAATGTGATCCATCATGTGGTTCATCATGTCATTCATCATGTGATCCATCATGTGACCGTTCATGTGACTGATGTGATCCACCATGTGATTGATCAGATGACTGATTTATGTGATCCATCATGTGATGTATCCTGTGATCGTTCATGTGACTGATGTGATCCATCATGTAATCCATCATGTGGTTCATCATGTCATGTCATCATGACTGATGTTATCCGACATGTGATTGATCATATGCTCCAGCATGTGATTGATTCATCATGTGACTGATTATGTGAGCCATCATGTCATTCCTCCTGTGATGCATCATGTGATTGATCATATGACCGATTATGTGATCCATCATATGGTTCATGGTTCATCATGTGATTGTTCATGTGACTGATGTGATCCACCATATGATTCATCATGTGATTCATCATTGCTTGTATCTCTGCTTGCTGTGTTATCATTAATCATGCTTGAATTTTGTAATAATGTTGTTATATGCATCGATCACTCCCTTTATTACCATGTGAAGAATTCTTGTTTTTATCGTAAGTAATCTGAATTTAAACCTTACATCGAATGATTGTAATATTTTTGTTTAAATGTTTTGATGAGAATCTTGAAAGTGAAATGAAATATTATTAAAGAGATATAATTCTAAACATACGTTTGTATCAAGGTGTACATATAGTGTTTACAAAATTGTAAATTATTTATAGCACAGTCTATGTAGATGCAAAAATTATGTATGTTGATGGGATATTTTATGTGAACGTGGGTTTGTAGTACACAGCTAGGTATTTCTTTACGTTGTACATGTCTGTAGAGTCTTTAATTTGAATGACATAGTATATGTCTATTGTAATTTTACCACAGTATCTGTTGTACAATTACAAAACGAAATATCAAGTCATGTGTACCACGACTAAAGGGTTGTTTGTTTTTTTGTCTGTATGTACTTTAGGATATACTTTTACCTTGCTGTTCAATATCATGGTTTATTCCTTAGGGAATGCAACGCGATACTGATTAATAATTTGGCAAATCCAAGATGATTGTATATTCATATACCAAGATATCGATCATGCCCCTTACACTAGAGAGTTTACGGGAATACTAAATGGAGATAGACATTGAAAGTGTCATTTTACTTGTTCTTCTGGAATGCCAACTCTGAGGTCCATGTCAATTTCTGTCAACTATTCTGGTAAACTCTGTTCAGATTGGGATATAATATGCATTTATCTTGGACTTGCCTACAAGTTTCTCTCTTTGCTTCAGTGGAGAAAAGAAAGACTTTCAATTGATTCATATGCCTCATTTATGTTACTTTCGTCAGTTTTGTAGGACGTTTATTTCTTCGTAAAATGTATCTCATGGAAACAAAAAGGTGTGCCTATTTAAATTATACCAAAACTAACTCCTTGTTGTAAGCTTGAAACCAGCTTTGAGTGGCTATTAAACGTTTTTTCTTGCATTGCTTTGATCATTTATAAGATTTTGCTTCCTATTTATCTAATTTTGTTTATACATGTGTCTCTCTCTAAAAAACTTCAAGTGCTTTTTTAACAGTCAAGGTGTTAGTTAACTGAGTTTTCTTAAATGAACCAAAAGCTATGTGTACTATATGCATCAGTGGATATTGACAGCCCTCGGTATAATTATGAATATTTATGTCCAAATTTAGTTTATGACTTGCAGGAAAGTGATTTTGATTAAATTTATTACCAGTGTACACATATTTCTCATTAGGGCAGACAGAGAAGAGAAATATTGCAATAAAATTATCTTCGGCAAGTTTGCCGAAGTAAGTATTTTCTGCCATTCAAGTACCGGGTATGCATGAATAGAAACCGTATTTGTGTTTTTGTCTTTACAACTTCATTGATGGTTTTGATACTCTTAACTTGCCAATCAATGTCATTTCATAAAGTTGCCTTTAAAACTACTCAACTTTGTTTTTACCGTGTAAATTGGCAATGCAGTAGCAGTAAAGAATTGATGACAGAATTGCTACAATGTTTATATATTATATGCTAAGTGAGCATTTACAGTGTAGTAGTCATTCTAATAAATTAATTTGGTATTTTAGTTTAGACTTAAATGACCGTATGATGTACATGTTTCAAGGCATCGTTTAGATGTCCTGACAAATGCTTCTGAAAAGTTTTCATGAACAAAAAAACTTATTTGGTTAAAGTTATTAATCATCTACTGCACAAGCTATCAAAGATTGACGTCAGACAATGCTTTTCAGTTGATATACATGATTTTTAACAGATTCCTTCTACAATCCACATAATGTATCACAATTTATTTATTTTGAGATTATTTAATGCTGCACATTTTGTCAGAAAGCAACAATGTTTCCATTCAAACAACGACTAGCTCATAGGACTGTCATATTTGCATAATTTTGTTCTTTTTTAGGAAAAGTTTTGAGAAAGAAATTCATAAATCCCATTGTATTTATTGGTAGAGACCTATTCCTAACACTTTAATTTATTTGTTTTAATAATTTGATGTAAATGACTTGTTAGCTGCTTTAATAGAAAGCTACTACATGTAGGAGGCATAGAAAGTTCATGCAATCTGTGTTTGTTTTAAATACTCATGTTGCAGATTTTATGTATATTGATCTAATAGGTTCAAACAATGTTTGTACTGTCCAATCTAATGCATCGATTTATGGGGAGAAGGATATATGGGACTTTTACATTTATTGCAAAGTGTTCTTTGAGATTTTAATGGAAATAAAATACATGAATCTTGTTTGCAAAGTTTTGTTTCGCTATGTTTCTTTTTGTTTTTGCTGACTGAATTCATTATTATTCTGACTCAAGTGATGTATGTATGTGTACCTGTGCAGTATTATAGTGCTGCTATTAATGTGATGTTCAGTGGAAGTATGTATAAAGTAAAATGTAGATGATGAAAACAAGATCTTGAATATCTTAGCGCAATTATATACTAGTATCTCAAATGAAATAATGGACAACACAGCCACATAATTTTCTTGATACAATTTATTGGTGTTAAAAAGAAGTTTCAATCATTTAGATTTCCAGCATATTTCAGACAAATGTGCTAAGATAATGACAGTCTATTCAAAATAAAACTATGGACAATACAATCATGATTAAAACAACTATATATGCACATTCGTGTTACACTGAGATCAAGTACTCTCCAAAGTGCTTTGTCATTATATCGCAAACCTGAAATCTTTGGATGCCTAAATTTAATACAAAATGATGCACTCCAGAGTTCTTGTAAATGCATCCAAAGTCTGATCATATTAATAAGATTTTATCAGAATCTGATATTGCATGTAGCTCATACAGTACTATTTACAGATAAAAAGACAATATACAAAACTAACAGTGTCTACTACATACTTTACTAATATCACAGTGTTTTAATGATGAATCCATAATTTATGATTGACAAATAGAAATATCAATTCTATGAGTGATATTATTTCATTGCTCCATTACACCAGACTTCTATTTACTGTAAATATTTCTATTCACTGCCTGGGTAATATACGTCTGTCACATATTAAGAATTGGTGAATAGCTATTATATTCACATACATTTGTGCTTACTTGATAAACAAAAATAGCAATGAAAACATCGGTTTTAAAAGTCCATCTTATTCAAGCAAAGCTGGTTGTCAGATGTCAATCTTTACATCTTACAACACAAGATGCCTGAATAAGCATTCTTCATACATACATACAATATACTATATCTACATATACCTACATGTACAAGAGAAGAAAAGAAAAGGGATTGGGCTTGTAGGCAAATTTTGAAAGACTATAGGGTACTCTAATCCCAGAAACTTGAATAGTGACATGATACTTTGTTAACGGTGGCCATCGTGATTGCAGTATTTTGGATGTTGCAAATTGCAGAATATCAATATTGTGATATACATTTCATAGCGCAGCTTGAAATATTTGTCAAGCTTCGCCACTCTCAGAATTTGTGAAAGTTTATGGTTTCACAGACAAATGAATTAATTTCATACATGAGTTAATTTTTACATAAATTAATTTAAAAAGCACAATGTAAATATCAATTATTATTATTATTATTATAATATGATTGTTATTAGAAAGTTGTTATTAGAATTATGTTTCATGTATAAAATTGTTGTAACATGTAAGTTAATATTTCTTTGTATTTTTGTTTAGCGCTTAGAAACATTGTATTAAGCGCTTTATAAATGTAATTTATAATTAATATTATTATCAAAGTCTGAATATTATCATTATGCAATACTTGCAAGGTTAGTTTTTTTTAAGATCATTATTTTATCTGATGTACATTATTTCAAACAAAATTAATGAACCTGAGTGAGTTGAAATTTTGGATACATTGCAACATGCGTTGCAATGTTGGCAGGCTGAATGACCACACTCCATGGTGAGTCATAAAATTATTACTTAAGAAGGAGGAGATGAAGTCTGTTCTTAGCCCACCAGCTCGGCCCCCATTCCTCAGCTTCCTTGCTGTCTTCCTCACATAGCATCTCAATACTGCAACGCTCTCCTGTAAACACAACAGAAATAGAGGGAGAAAGATATATAAGGTTACTGAAAATGGGATGAGTTCAGCTACATTTTTGTAGAAGAAGAGTAAGCATCAAAATTCTTAAATTGGCAACAAATTGAATAGTTTGAAATGCAATTTGAAAATTGTTTGACATGGTATCCGTCCGTATACATATATATGCTTTTTTTTGTGTGTGTGCAAACTATTTAAAGAAATATACCAGTCTTGAAGGTTGAGAAGAAAAGCTGATCACTTTAGAACTTTTTAAAAAAGTTCTGTCTTCACAGAATAAAAGTACAGCTGTATACGTACCATACATCTTCTGGAAATCTTTTTCTTCCACAGGACGAAACTCATCTTCATCATCATTGTCCTCACCTAATCATGTAGTGAAGAAAAAAAATCTGAATATGTAAACGTAGATCCTTCAGAATCTTCAATGGTAAAAAGTATATACCTAGAGTAAATTTAAACATACACATGATGATATATCCATAGACATACAGATAGCCACCCTGGCAATACAACAAATCAATTTAAATGGACAAATTATCAAATATACATAGACAAACACCCTTGCAGTATGTTATATATGGTTTAGAGTGGCAGTGCGCCCTCTTGTGTTATGTACTGACTTGACAACCAGATTGAAGATTACTAGAATAAAGCACTAACCAGTTGAAGTTGTAAACTTTAAACAGACTTTATTGCCTATTATGTAGAGTCAAACAAAAGCATAAAACATGGTGTCAGAAGTGTAGTGACCATGGACTCATTCCTGAAATCGGCGTACAGCCAGGAAGAATAATTTACAGAGTCGAACTGTTCACGTTCCGAGCAAGTTTGCAGCAACCGAGTACACGCGAAGTCGTCGTACAGTGGACAGATTAGCGAATGGTTCGTAGCATAGCATCCATAAACGCGACGTCGTTGAGCAGCGGTGAATATGACTTATGAACATTGTCGCAATAGACTTGACTCGTCAGTCGATGTAATGTGAACTATCAATAATAATTACGATGTTTAGTTATTTTGGTTGTTTTACGTGTGCATTGTTTGGAATGAAATGGTGTGGATTTATGGAAAGAGTGCATTAATATCAGAATTAATACTCGATAAGTCCAATCAGTCTGGTTCATTCAGTGGGTTTAGCAGTATAGTTTACTCCGTATTAGAATTTGCTGATTTGTTACTGTAAGTGTAATTGTATAGGCGGTAGAGATAACCATGTCTAACACTGAGGCAGTACAAGATCCTCCCCAGAGGGGAAGTGAAGAGTCAGAAGGAGTAAATGAAACTGGGACTAACCAGGGTCAGGTCTTGAGTGATAACAATACTGATAATGATAGTGTTAGGACCAGAAATAGGCCGGGCAGTACAAGTAGAACAAATGTGCCACTCCCAAGACCTCTTTCGGTAAAAGGGGATATGAAGAAAAACTGGGGTATTTTCACCCAGATGTGGGACAGTTATGAGGTCATAACTGGGTTAGAACACGAAAGTAATAAAATTCGTGTGGCACATTTCATAACGGCACTAGGAACTGATGCATTGGAGATTCAACAAGGCCTCCCTTTCAGAAATGAGGAGGAAAGAAAGAGTTATAAATGCATAAGAAAACTCTGGTCTGAATATTGTGTCGGGCAAACAAACATTACTTTTGAAAGATATCAGTTCAATAAGTGTGTTCAGAATACTGTTGAGTCAGTTGAGAATTATTATGTGAGGTTAAGGTCTCTTGCAAGTACTTGTGAGTTTGGTACTCTAACTGATGACCTCATCAGAGATCGAATCGTTCTAGGGATTAGAGACGATAATACAAGAAAACGTCTTTTGCAAGAGCCAAATCTTACTCTGTCTAGTTGTTTGGATATCTGCAGAGCTATGGAGTCGTCCAAAGCTCAGAGCAAAGCCATGCAGGAACCAGTATCTGCCTATGCAGTGTCCCATAAACCAAAGGTTTGGAAGCATAGTGGGGGTAAGGGCAAGAAGCTAACTCCTAAATTGATTAATTGTGGTTTCTGTGGTAAGCAGCATGAAAAAGACAAATCAAAATGCCCAGCTTATGGCCAAAAGTGTAAGCTGTGCAAAAGAGAAAATCATTTCGCTGTGAAATGTAGACAGAATAAGAACAAGGCTCACAGAGTAGAGACAATTGAAGAGGATGAAGATTCTGAACAAGAGTGTGTATATGTTTCTCTGATAGGCACAGATGAAGCATTTCAGGTATCTGCTGATAGTAAGAGTCCAAATTATCAGAAAAAGATCATTGCAAAGTTTAGAATCAATGACGAAGACGAGATTGGTATGCAGGTTGATTGTGGAGCGACATGTAATGTTATCCATCTAGAAGATGTTCCATCTGGGACAGAGTTAACTAGTACAAATCAGGTTCTGATTGTGTATGGTCAAGGAACAGTACCAGTTGCAGGGAAATGCAAGTTGCATCTTAGGAATGTAAAGAATAACAAGAGGTACTTAGTTCCATTTGTTGTTGTGAAGGGCGAAGTCACAAGACCACTGTTGGGAGCTAGTACAGGCCAGCAGATGAAGTTGATCAAAGTACAGTATGAAAACATTGAAGTTGTTCATGCAGTAGCTAATGATGATATTCTGATCCCATACAAGGATGTATTTACAGGGTTGGGTAACATGCCAGGAGTAGTTCATTTGACCTTAGAGGCTGAGGCAAAGCCAGTAGTGATGCCCCCTAGAAGGGTCCCTCTTTCAATTAAAGAAGATTTGAAAGAAGAGTTGTGTAGGCTTGAAAAGCTGCAGGTGATTGAGAAGGTAGAAGATCCTAGTGATTGGGTATCTAGTCTTGTAGTAGCTAGGAAACCAAGTGGTAAATTGAGAGTATGCATCGATCCGCAACATCTTAATAGGTCGTTGAAGCGTGAGCATTACCCATTGTCAACGATTGATGATGTCCTACCACAGTTAGCGAATGTGAAAGTTTTCAGCAAGGCCGACTTGAAGGAAGGTTTTCTACAGTGTAAGTTGGACGCAGAATCATCCAAGCTTACAACATTTCAGACACCTTGGGGTAGATATAGGTTTCTTCGCTTACCCTTTGGTCTATCACCTTCGCCTGAGCTCTTCCAGAAGCGCCTAGATCAGTGCCTTGAAGGCCTACCAGGAGTATTCGTCATAGCAGATGACATTCTCATAACTGGACAGGGTGAGACACATGCAGAGGCCTGCATAGACCATGATC